GGGGGGGGGGGGGGGAGGGGGGGGGGGAAGGGGGGGGAGGGAAGGGGGGGGGGGAGGGGTGAGGGAAGCTCCTCTTTTCTGGCATCTGGCCCTCGCAGAATCTCCTCCATGGTGAGGTCGCTGAAGATCACCTATACCCCCCCTTCTTAAAAAAACAACCTAATATTTTAACTATCCTCTTGGGCCCTATATAAACCAAAATCCTAAACCCTAAACCCTACACCCTAAACCCTAAAAGTACAAAAGTAATTCCCAAGAAGGATATGGTCACCTTCCGGCGCGCCGACTCCCTTCTTGAGCGGGCCGCGCGGGCCTCCGCCTGCCTTCGTCGGGCGGCTCGCTGCGCCTGCCGCTCCAACCTCGGATGGCCCCCTTTGACACCCTCTGAAAAAATATTATTCCTGAGTAGGAGCCTCTTAAACCCAATATAAGGGAAAGTAACAAAAATGTCCCAAGGGATAGTACCCGAAAAGTTTGTAAAACAAAGATAAAAAAAATAAAAATAAAACCGTATTCTCAAAAAACCCGAAGCAACTCCTGCCTCTCCAGCTGACGCTTCCGCTGCTCCCGCAGGCGCCCGCGCCGCTCCTTCTCCGCCTGCTTCCGCTCCGCCTCCAGCAGCCGGAGCCACCTCCGCAGCAGCGCCCTGAGCCTTAGTTGCTGACTTCATAAGCCCCCCAAAAAAGTGTAGACTCTCAGTTCTGTAGGGGATTCTGGTATCCCAAATAGTGACTTCAATAGCGTAAAGTGTACGCTTTCAGTCGGGGATTATGGTATCCCACAAAAAAGGTGTATAAAGTGTACTCATTCAGCTGCTCAGGAGCCGACTCAGGGGCTTCCGAGCCGGGTGCACCCGCTTCCTCGCGGGCCGGGGCCCGCGCACGCGCCCGATCTGCGACGGGTACCGCAGGCGCCTGGGCCGGTGGCATATCCTCGGAGTTGGCCCTATAGTCCCGGTTTAGGGTTTAGGGTTTAGGGTTTAGGGTAAGAGGGTTAGGGTTTAGGGTTTGGGGTCAGTAACAACTCCCGGCAGCAGCATGTCTGAGTGCCCAAGCAGAGGGCAGCTACATAGAATTCAGATAAAGAAAAGCTAGCAAACCCATAGGTGTGGATCGCGGGGGGTGGCCGACCATCTACACACGCAGATATATATATATATATATGCTCACACCCCCCCCCCCCCATGACCTACCGTGAGGCCGTGTCGGAGGAACAAATCCATACTTAGTCATAGGTATGAATTTAATAAGAACCCTATTAATTGAACGAAAACCCTATGAAAATTAATACGAACCCTATTAAAATCAATAAGACTCTTATTGAAATTAATAGGAATCTTATTGAATTAATAGGAATAATGACTTGGAATCATATTTGAGTCAGAGGAACTCTCTATCAAACGTCATGGGAATGCTATTAAATGTAGAAAAATAATAGGGCCCCCATCAAGAATAGTAGGGAGCCTGTGAAAATGAAAAGGGACCCTTGTTTGAATTCACGGGAATGTGGGAACTCCATTAAATCTATATTAATATTTCTCTTAATCTTGTTATGATGAATTAGAATCCTATTCAATTTATGAGGAACCCACTAAAATTCATAAGAACCCTTGTACAAATTAAGAGGAATCTTTTAAATGAAGAGGGTCCTACCATCAATAGGAATTTATTAGCAACACCACTAAAAAACATAAGAACCTTATTGCAAATTAACAGGAATCCTTTGAAAACGAAGAGAAATCCTATTAAAATTAATAGGAACCAATCGGAATCCTACAAAAATTAATATGAAAATTCATAAGAATATCATGAAGTGGTAGAGGGGTCCTATTAAGATGGTTAGGAACCCTTTGACGTTAATCGGAATTCATTAGGAACCCCAGTAAACTTCACAAGAACCCTATTACGAATTGATAGGAATCCGTTTAAAATGAAAAGGAATCCTACTAAAGTTAATAGGAAACAATAGGAATCCTACAAAATTCAATGTGGTTCCTTTTCAAAATTCTGGGCTTCCTGTTAGACTTAATGTGATGCCCATTAGAATTAATAGGACTAGGAATGCTATTCAAATCTCTAAGAATACCATTAGAATTACTTGGAGACGCACTAAAATGAATAGGCACCAATATGAATCTTAAAAAAAGATTTTTAATTTCAGATTGGACTTAAAAGAACCACTTTAAAATGATTAAGAACCTTGTTGAAATGCATAAGAACCCTATTGAAAAATATGAGGAATCCTCTGATGTTGAATAAGAAACCTCTGCAAGTTCAAAAGAATTCAAGGAAAATGAAAAGAAGTCCTATAAAGATGGTTAGGAACCCTTTTACATTAATAGGAATAGGAATGCTGTTGCTGAGATTAATATAAGACTGACCAAAACCAACGAGCCTCCAAGCATGCTGACACGTCCTGCGTCGAACCAAAACCGTCCACTGGACAGCTACATGTAGAGCTGAACGGTTCTGGCCCGAGAGAGGTACGAGGCAAAACCAAAAAACCAACAAAAACCAACTTTTTAAGAGAATGGGGAGGGGATGTTCAAAAAGATTGTTTTTTTGGTTTTGCATCGTAAAAAGATGGTTTTTCATAGAAAAACCAACTTTCCCCTCGCAAAAAGATGGTTTTGGCCTCAGGAAAACCATCTTTTTGCGAGGGGAAAGTTGGTTTTCTATGAAAAACCATCTTTTCGAGGGAAAACCCAAAAAACAAAAAAAACATCTTATTTAGAGACTGGGGAGGGGATGTTGAAAAAGATGGTTTTTTTGGTTTTGCCTCGTAACAAGATGGTAACAAGATGGTTTTTCATAGAAAACCAACTTTCCCCTCGTAAAAAGATGGTTTTGGCCTGGTCTGCCTCAGGAAAACCATCTTTTTGCGAGGTAAAAGTTGGTTTTTCTATGAAAAACCATCTTTTACCAGGCAAAACCAAAAAACAAAAAAACATCTTTTTTGGAGAATGGGGAGGGGATGTTGAAAAAGATGGTTTTTTTGGTTTTGCCTCGTAAAAAGATGGTTTTTCATAGAAAAACCAACTTTCCCCTCGTAAAAAGATGGTTTTGGAGACAAAAGCCAACTTTTACCTCGTAAAAAGATGGTTTTGGAGCCAAAAACCCACTTTCCCCTCGTAAAAAGATGGTTTTCCTGAGGCAGACCAGACCAAAACCATCTTTTTGTGTGGGAAAAGTTGGTTCTTCTATGGAAAACCATCTTTTTACCATCTTGTTACGAGGCAAAACCAAAAAAAACATCTTTTTCAACACCCCCTCCCCATTCTCTAAACAAGATGTTTTTTTTTTTTGTTTTTTTTGGTTTTGCCTGGTAAAAGATGGCTTTTCATAGAAAAACCAACTTTTACCTCGCAAAAAGATGGTTTTCCTGAGGCAGACCAGGCCAAAACCATCTTTTTACGAGGGGAAAGTTGGTTTTCCTATGAAAAACCATCTTTTTACGAGGCAAAACCAAAAAAAACACCTTTTTCAACATCCCCTCCCCAGTCTCTAAATAAGATGGTTTTTTTGATTTTTTGGTTTTCCCTCGAAAAGATGGTTTTTCATAGAAAAACCAACTTTCCCCTCGTAAAAAGATGGTTTTGGCCTGGTCTGCCTCAGGAAAACCACCTTTTTGCGAGGTAAAAGTTGGTTTTTCTATGAAAAACCATCTTTTACCAGGCAAAACCAAACAAAAACAATCTTTTCAACATCCCCTCCCCATTATCTTAAAAAGTTGTTTTTTTTTTGGGGTTTCGCCCGTGTCCTGTGGTCCTTGTGGGGTCTGTTTTGTCGAGAGACAGCCACTGAGAGTAGCAAAAAACGGCATAGGGCATGAGCGGGTTTTAAACGGTATTTACGAGGGAAACAGATCTGGGTAGGTCATGGGGGGGGGGGGGGGTGTCCATATATATATATATATATATATATATTTCTGTATTTATTTATTTACTTATTTATATATTTATATATTTATATATTTATATATTTATATATTTATATATTTATATATTTATATATTTATATATTTATATGTTTATATATTATCGTTTTTTATTTATATCTATATTTATATAGGCAGATATTCTATGTATATGTTTGCATATGACATCTCCCCAGGGCCGAGCAGCTTGTCTTGCATGGCCATGTGCTGCGACTCCCAATATTGCAGGTGCCGATGCCGCAGGCAGGCGTTGCCGTCGTACATCAACTGCAGGTGCTTGATGGCATTCCTGGGGTGGGGTTTAGGGTTTAGGGTTTAGGATTTCGGGTTTGGGGTTTGGGGTTTAGGGTTTCGGGTTTAGGGTTTAGGGGTTCCCTAGAAAAACTACATTTTCACGGCTTCGTAAGGATTATATAGGGGATCTATAATTAGAAATGAAAAGTTCTGTTCAAACCTAGCCCTGAATTCTCGCTGGGCAGGCCGACACACTCCCACATTGAAGCCACTGCGTCCTTCGGGATCCAGATTCGGGAGACCCTTGGGGAGATCGACCCTCTGAATAAGGTCCCTGTTTAAGAGAGCCACAAGAGGGTTCAGAAGGGGTCCCCTTTAAGGGTCCCCCTTATCCTACCTAGGAGTCCTGGAACTGCTCCCATCGCCGCTCCAAGTCTACGGGGCCATACTGCCACACCACGCTGCTGCGCCCTTTTCCTCGGATGGCCCAGGGTTTAGGGTTTAGGGTTTAGGGTTTAGGGTTTAGGGTTTAGGATCCTCTTCAACCCAATAAGGGAAAATAGAAAGTGTCCCAAGGGCCTACCGAGTTTCCCATGCCTTGCTTCAGCACCGGGCGGACGGGGCTCATGCACCTGCAGATTTCACGCAGGGCTGTGGTTCGTTAGCGGTTTAGGGTATAGGGTATAGGGTTTAGGGTTTAGGGTGAAGGAGTTTTTAAGCTGATATTGGGCTTTGTAGGCTAGGGGCAGGGGCAATACAGGGCTTAGGGGTTTGCGGACTTTAGGCCCAGGAAGCACCGCATCAAGGCCACAAAAAACAACTGCAAGAAATCAGCCGAGGCGCTCGCGCAGCTGCGCCAGCTGGTCCACGCTGCGCACCGTCGGTGACCTCACTTTCACCCGAGGGCCCAGGAAGAAGCCATTTGTCTGGCAGACCTGAAACCGGAGGCCCAGTTCCTCGACGCTCCGGCCCTGTTCGGCCGCGGAGGACTCGATAGCTCCCTGAAGGCGAGAGCCGTAAGCAGAGTTGCTGGAAAGCTTGCTCATTCTCTGCTTGATGGCTGTGAGAATGACAAGGAACTCCACAGCCGTAGGTAGGTCGGTGTCCTTGCTGGTAATCGAGACCGCATCGAAAACAATGTTTGCAGCGTACATGATCGTGTGCTCAGACTTCTTCTGCGGGCGGCGGTACACGCCCCGCATGGTGTTTTTCTGACGCTTACGCGTGGAGCTGGCAGCAGCCTTACTTTCGGCAGATTCCAGTGGGGCTTCAGCTGAGCTGCAGGGAGGACGGGAGTCCTCCAGGGCCATGGGTGGGCACAGGGATGGTGGCACCCATGGTGCGGACGCCGGAAGGCTGCTTCTTAGCGCTCGCGGCGCGAACTGCGACGGCTGCTCTGCAATCCACTTCTCCAGCTGGACCCTCTGCTGCTGAGAGAAGTCATCGCGGATCACTTGCAGGCGGGTTTCTCTTGGTAGGCTCCGCAGAATTGCATGGACCTGGGCCAGAAAGGACTCAGCCATGTCACGGCCGCAGGCGCCCGGCGGAGGCTGCGCTGGGCCTGGGGGCTCCCTCTTGCGCGCGCCGGGCGCGGGCTTCGGGGCCTCTTTCCGGGCCTCAGGTTTCGCCTTGGGACGTTTGACCGTCGTCTCCTTGGCCGGAGTTGAGCCGGTACCCAGAAGATGCTGCGCATCATACTTTGACCGGGTGGTCGGGTCGGCTAAGATCTCAAAGGCCCGGTAAACCAGGTGGAAGCACTCCTTGCTCCCCCCCTTGTCTGGGTGGACCTGGTCAGCTCCCCAAAGCTTCGCAGGGTTCAGGGTTTAGGGTTTAGGGTTTAGGGTTTAGGGTTTGGGGTTTAGGGTTTAGAGTTTAGGGTTTAGGGTTTGGGGTTTGGGGTTTGGGGTTTAGGGTTTAGGGGTTTATATACATCCTTCAAGGACAGAATGGCAACGATTCTACCCGAAATGAGATGCACCCACACCTGGTAAGACTTCTTGTGGTACCGATGACAGCGGGGGTCCTACTCAGTTGGATACCCAAAACAGAAAGCCGTAAACCCACCCTAAACCCTAAACCCTAAACCCTAAACCCTAAACCCTAAACCCTAAACCCTAAACCCTAAACCCTAAACCCTAAACCCTAAACCCTAAACCCCACCTGAAGGGCACGCTTCTTGAAGGCGCACCTGATCTGCTCGGGCGTGGCATGCGTCTCCAGATGTAGCACAGCGTACAGGGAAGACCCAGCCATTGGCTGAGGCTTCGGCACAGGGCGCACTTCTTGAGGGGTTTTAGGGTTTAGGGTTCAGGGTTTAGGGTTTAGGGTTAAAGGTTAAGGGTTAAGGTCTAGGGTTTAGGGTTTCCCCCCGACAACCCTACAAGCTCTCTAAATAACCCTGCAAACCTTAGCCCTAAACCCTAAACCCTTGCAAGACCCTACCAGCCGTGTAAGCCATCTAAGCCTTAAACGCTCTCAAAGGCCTGTACTTGGAGGTTCGTGGTAGTTCTTAACCACTTCTAACTGTACTTTTACCTGTACTTATACCCACATTAGGGCACTTCAGGGGCTTTTAAGTGGGTTATAAGTACAGTTATAAATGGTTAAACCTCCAAGTAGCCGGCTTATGGTGTCAAAGGCGATGCCTCTCGTTTTTTTCGCAGGATTCGTCGAAGTTCAGCTAATCCCCTGCCTCACAGATGACCCCTCCCGCTACGCACCCTATGTAAACCCTAAACCCGAAACCCTTTGGGGTTTAGGAGTTTTAGGGCTTGGGGCGTCTTTGGGTAAAGGGAGAGCGTGAGTTTCGGAAGACCCACCATCAGGAGCAACATTTTCTACACTACACATTCCAGCAATGGGAAGGGGGGTTAGTGGTTAGGGTTCAGGGCAATTGGGAATGGGGGTTCTATGAACACAAGCTCTTCCAAGCCCCTCGGAAGCCTCCTGAGTCCCTAAACCCTTAAACTCCGACACGCGAAACGTGGCCTGCTTCCGCTTCATCTTCGGGAATGCCTGGCCAGAATGCCGCCGAACACCGAAAAAAGGCAGAAAGGTGAGCCTACAACTGGGCTTCCAGCGAAGTCATAAGATCCCAAGTCTTGCACCTACTAACTACATTGCATGCAAGACATACATACATACATACGTATGTATTTATGTATGAGTATACATCTCAAATGCATGCATCGGCACACACATACAAGGGAAGCCAGGGGCAGGGTTCAGGGTTCAGGGTTCAGGGTTCAGGGTTCAGGGTTCAGGGTTCAGGGTTCAGGGTTCAGGGTTTAGGGTTCAGGGTTAGGGTTTCGGGTTTAGGGTTTAGGATTCAGGGTTCAGGGTTTAGGGTTTAGCCCCCCCAAGACTCACGGAGGGGCCTCCTGAAGCGACGTCGATGTGACGACCTGCGACTTTTCGGGTTTAGGGTTTCGGGTTTAGGGGCTCGGGGTTTAGGTTCTAGGGTTTAGGGTTTAGGGTTTAGGGTTTAGGGTTTAGGGTTTAGGGTTTAGGGTTTAGGGTTTAGGGTTTAGGGTTTAGGGTTTAGGGCTTGAGGTTTTACTTTAAGAACACGCAACCTCGCCTTTTGTTTGTAGGCCATTGCTGGCGCACGCTTGTAGAGTTCTTAGCTTACCCATGAGAAGGAGGGTTCGCAAAACCCTAAACCCTAAACCCTAAACCCTAAACCCTAAACCCTAAACCCTAAAGTCTGAATCAACCCTGAAACCTAAACCCTTGCGGTTTGAAGTTTATAAGGTTTTGGGGTTTATAGGGTTTGGGGTGTAGGGTCTGGGGTTTAAGGGCCCTTTTCACCACCTCCCCTGAAATTCCTAGACCACCCCCCCTCAAAAACAACTTGAGACGAATTCACCACCAGCTTTGTGAGGCTCGCTTTTCGGGGTGTGCTTGCTGGTCTGTAGCTTACAAAACTCCACATGGAAACTGCTTATGACAGCTTATTTGGCCCCAAACCCTAAACCCTAAACCCTAAACCCTGAACCCCAAACCCAAAACCCTGAATCCCTAAACTCCCTAACCCCCCCCCCCCCCCCCAAAAAGGGAACCCAACTTAGCCCAACCGGTCAGTCGACCGAAGATGCATCTCCGTGCCTTCTGCCGGTGGCAGTCCAAATCGTAGAGCTGGTTCGCCAAGTGCCGCAAGGGGACAAAACGGATAGTCTCCTTTGTCAAGGGCTGTTTGTTAAACCCTAAGCCCTAAAGCCTGAACCCTAAAACCTATACCCCAATCCCTAGATCCTAGACCTTACACCCTAAAGATCAAGGACTCCTTCTCCAAAGGGCCCGTGGGACAGAAGAAAAGAGCGGCCGCAGATGTGCGTTCAGAGTTTAGGGCCTTAGGACTTCGGGCTTTGGGCTTAGGCCAGAAGAAGCTCTCCTAAACGCCGCAGGGTGGAGGATGAATGGAAGTAGGGTTTAGGGTTTAGGGTTTAGGGTTTAGGGTTTAGGGTTTAGGGTTTAGGGTTTAGGGTTTAGGGTCTTCAAGGCAAGATTTCTTTTAGCAACGTTCTTCAAGAACCCATGATCCAAGAGGCCCCATGTGTAGATCCCTGCTAAACCTTCATTGCTGTTGAGAAATCTGGGTTTTCGAGGTATCTCGCGCAGCTTCTCTGCCAAGCTACAAGCGGAGGCTTCTGCAGCTGGCGTACCCCCTGTTACTTGCTGATGGTTAGTAGGCAATGAGGGAATGAGGTCCCCCTTATCATCCCTTAAAGATCCCTTAAAGGGTAATGTGAGAGTCGCTTTTTTAATTGGGGTGGTAATGGTAATATTCGCCGGGCCAGAGGGCCCCAGCCGAAGACTACTTTCCATTACGGGAGGTTTTCGGGCCGATGTATGTAAACAAGTCTATATAGGGGGGTCCGGTGATAATAATAATGGGGTGGTATTTGTAAAAAATTTTCCGGCCAGGAATTGAAAATTTTACTGAAAATGGCTTAAGAGTTCCATTGCAAAGCAAAGCAGACCCTGACAGCTGACCCACCCAGACCCCCAGAATCCTCACAATTGACACCCCACATTTTTTTCCACCTCTCCAAACCCCGGGGACCAAAACAAGATTGGGGGGGGTTTATTAAAGGGACTCTAACATTATACAACAGGGGGATGCAGGCCTCATTCCCTCATTCCCTACGGTTAAACCCCCCCTCAAGCTCGAATCCCATCTTCTGTCCTTCCACCGCTGGAAGTATCGCCAAGTCCTGGGTGTGGGGGGGGGGGGCAGCGTTCCCCTGTTCAGTTTGTCCCCCCTCGCCCTGACTAATCACCTAATACCCTAACCTGGGTTTAAACCCTAGACCCTAGACCCTGGACCCTAAACCCTAAACCCTTGAGATGGTCAATCAACAAATTTGCCCGTCAAAAATCCCCACAAGGCCCATGCCCACTCATACGCCGAGTGGCTGGGTTATGATCGTGGGCGCATCGGCCCTCTTCGTCAGAACCTGCAGTTGCTTCCCAGCCCAAACTCAGACCGCAGGGGCCTGTGCCCCTTTATCACCAAAAGCCACCCTAAACCCTAAACCCTAAACCCTAAACCCTAAACCCTAAACCCTAAACCCTAAACCCTAAACCCTAAACCCTAAACCCTAAACCCTAAACCCTAAGCCCTAAGCCCTAAGCCCTAAGCCCTCACGAAAGCCTGAGCCGCTGCGGCGTAGCTGTCCAGGACCATGGCCAGCAACCTCGGGGAAGATGGTAAGGGAACTTAGGATCCTCTAGGGAGGTATAGGGTTTAGGGTTTAGGGCTCAGGGTTTAGGGCTTAGGGTTTAGGATTTAGGGTTTAGGGTTTTAGGTTCTAGGTTTTAGGTTTTAGGGTTAAAGGTTTGGGGTTTGGGGAGTTCAGGTTTGGAGTTGGAGTCCGGCCCACATCCGCCTAAACACCTGAGTGTGATGACCCCGGAAAACCTCTGCGGCTGCTGAACGTAGGGGGCATAATCATTACAACAAGGTTTTGGGGGTGATTGTAGCATACTTCTATAGGGACCAGAAGAGATTCTAGTAGGAGCTATTGCAACCCCTCTGTTGGGCTTGTGGAATCTTGGGCCGTTTCGGGGCCCTGAATGAAGAAGACGCATCCCTAAACCCTAAACCCTAAACCCTAAAATCCAAAACCCTAAACCCTAAACCCTAAACCCTAGGTTGCGGCTCATGGCTTCGCGGGGCCCTCTTGCCACGCCCAGAAGCATGTTGAAGAGCACCAGTAGTGCGAAGCAGATGTACACCACCTTGGCGTTGCGGAGGTGAGGTTTAGGGTTTAGGGTTTAGGGTTTAGGGTTTAGGGTTTAGGGTTTAGGGTTTAGGGTTTAGGGTTTAGGGTTTAGGGTTTAGGGTTTAGGGTTTAGGGTTTAGGGTTTAGGGTTTAGGGTTTAGGGTTTAGGGTTTATGGGTTTAGGGTTTAGGGTTTAGGGTTTAGGGTTTAGGGTTTAGGGTTTAGGGTTTAGGGTTTAGGGTTTAGGGTTTAGGGTTTAGGGTTTAGGGTTTAGGGTTTAGGGTTTAGGGTTTAGGGTTTAGGGTTTAGGGTTTAGGGGCGCAGCCCCCCCCATGTGAAACACAATGCTCACATGATGTGTTTCAAGAAGTTTCTTAGGCTCCGAAGCACTCTTTGCACGCCTAAAAAAAGCGGGGGGGTTGGGGGGCGCGCAGCCCCCCCCCCCCATTTGCAAACACGATGGTCACAGGACGGGTTTCAACAAGACAAGCACGCTTTCGCAAAGCTTAAAAAGAAGCGGGGGGGTTGGGGGGGGGCGCAGCCCCCCCCCATCTGAAACACAATGCTCACATGATGCGTTTCAAGACTGAGTGGGCGAGGTGTGAAAAAAACATGCGTTTTTGCACCGACAGCTCTTGCAGCCATGAATCGCTGAAAAACCACCGTTCTAAGGGGAAGAGCAGCTTCAAGACAACAAAACGGCCACATGTTCAACATCCAATTCCAGAGTTCGCCGTTCGCATTGGCGCCGGTGCGGGAATGCACACAGCCCGGAAAGCACGCGCCTGCGCACTCCAAAGGAGGTTTACCCGATGCTTCCCGAAACGGTGCGGGCAGGACACCCCGTCTCACAGGACGACGACGACGACGACGACTACTACTATTACCACTACTACTAGTATTATACTACTACTACTACTACTACTACTACTACTACTACTACTACTACTACTACTACTACTACTACTACTACTACTACTACTACTACTACTACTACTACTACTTACTACTACTACTACTACTACTACTACTACTACTACTACTACTACTACTACTACTACTACTACTACTACTACTACTACTACTACTACTACTACTACTACTACTACCTCCTATACCTACTACATACTACATACTACATACTACATACTACATACTACATACTACATACTACATACTACTACTATAGGTGGTTGGTAGTTGGTACTTGGTAGTTCGTGGTAGGGAGTAGGAAGTTGGTAGCAGGTAGTAGGTAGTAGGTAGTTGGTAGTTGGCAGTTGGAAGTTGGTAGTTTATAGTTGGCTATTGGTAGTTGGCTGTTGGTAGTTGGCTGTTGGCTGTTGTCAGTTGGCTGTTGGTAGATGGCTGTTGGTTGCTGGTTGTTGGTTGTGGGTTGTAGGTTGTGGGTTGTGAGTTGTGGGTTGTGGGTTGTGGGTTGTAGTTGTAGTTGTAGTTGTAGCAGTAGCAGTAGCAGTAGTAGTAGTAGTAGTAGTAGTAGTAGTAGTAGTAGTAGTAGTAGTAGTAGTCGTCGTCGTCGTAGTACTAGTACTAGTACGAGTACAAGTCCTAGAAAGCTTGCATCGACCCCCCCGGGCTTGATCGCTCATATCTTTGAAGTAGCTCTGAAACTGGCAGGCGGGACTCAGGTGTCTCCAGATTCGCCTGCTCAGTCGATGTCCTGGTCCGAAAGAGCTGCGCACGACGTGCCAGCATCTCCAGCAAGTTGACCGCCTGGCAGATCCACGCGCGTGCGCTTTTCCCGACTCGAGGCAACATCAACGTGGCATAACGTGGCCATCTTAGTGCAACAACGCACGGTGTTCAGGCAACTTGCGCAAAAGGCCGAGGTTGCAACAACTTGAGAAAGGTTTCGGTTGTGTCGACCCAAGCACGATATTGGGCAACACCTTAAGGAGAAAGCTTTCGTAACAGCAAATGCAAACGCATGCGTGTCCAACGTTCTTCCTAGTCGCATATACCCGACATCCGAAGACCAGAGATGATTCCTTTCCCCTTTGTTTGTTGCGAGGCTGGAGTGGCATCGCGGAAGCAGACTCAGGACAAGCTCAGTGCAGTATAGGCCTGAGTTTCGTTCGGTTTAAGTAAGCTTCATGATGCTTGCGGGCGTCCGGCACTAGGTCATCAATGTCATGTTATTGAATCTTTGGGACGCCCCAACCGCATCCCACTCCCCAACCTCAGCATGAGTAGATGATGCTTGAAGAGTCGGTTGGGCCGCTTTTTGCCCAAAACCGGGGCTTGGGTTTGTTAGGTTTTTATAGGGTTTTGCACCGCGTGGTCCGCGGGGACGTGTGGACGTTGCGGGATGCGGGGGCGAAGGCCTTTGAAACCTTTTGCAAAACATGAGAGAAGCCGAGTAGACAGTCAACCGCGAAAATGCTGTCGCGATCTGTCGCGGTGGGTTTGCGTGATCTATGCGGGTTCTCGGGGTGACCTTGTTTCAACGTGGCTACTATGAACGATGAACAACCTATGGCCCCAACTGCCTGTTTCAGTTCTAGAAGTTCGTTCTGCTATGCTGCAACGTTCAATTTGCGACATCTACGACTCCAAGGAAGCACCTGCTGGTCGATGACCTTCACGGTATTGTACCTGACGAGGACGTCACAATCGCAATCTCAAGAACTGCTGCAACGCTTCGTTCGATTGCGACCTGAGCAAGAGGAAGAGACATCTTGAGTTTATTGTACGAGTAAGTACGTGTACGGCGCAGGTGTCCTGGCTACGCGGACCTGGAAATTCAATTTTGACCACCTTGCCACCCGTACATTCACGGCATTTCACGGCGCTGTTTGACTGCGCGCATGCCCTATGTACAAACGTACAAGCGGAGCCAGCGGTGCTGCGGGATGCGTTCTCGCACTAAACTCACTAAACATGACAACGAGTGGGTGAAACTCAAGGAGCAAACCTGCTCAGAAGGACACGCCACTTGCAGGATGAGCTGCCATTCCACCGATAAAGCTTGCCAGCTGTGAGTCAGACTCCAGCGACGTGGCACCTAATGAACTTCGACAGCTGCGGGAGTTCTCATGCGTCCCTGAATCCAGATTCCTGATATCCAGCTCCAAGGGCGTCTGTCGCGTGGACCGAATACGTTCCATGGCACGCAATACGTCTCGGAAGGGAGCACAACCTGCATCATCCTCAGAGACAGAACATCGGTCCGCAATAAAAGTCAATCTGAAAGCTGCCTGGCCATGACAGAAGCGGCGAATCGTGATCAAAAGTTTGCCATCATACATGAACCTCGAAACCACCTCCATCACGTTCCTCCATGAACCTGCTGATTTAACTTGCAGCCGAAACTTGACTGCCTGGCTGCCAAGCCTCTTGTAGGACGACTGCACGACGAAAGGCATGCTTCAGCTCCGTGTTGGAGCAGCATGGGTCGACGCCAAGAAGGGAATACGCCTTCGGCTTAGATTCTGTGCAGCAATGCACCCTTCAGAACCTTTCAGAAGTGCCCTGGCCATCGGCCCCGAGCCTCCAGAAGCTGTGGCCTCGCTTAGACTGTAGACTCGTGACATGCAACACTGACTCAGACTCAGCCTGACTCAGCCTGACTCAGCCTCACTGCACTCGGACGAGCTGAGATGGCGACTCGGAAGGCATCCAACCCTTCGAACGTCCTTAGGACTTAGTGCGTGAAGCATCCTGGCCGCTCAGGTGGAGACGTTGTTGCGTTACCGAGGCTGTCTTTTGTTCGAAAAAATCGAGGCGCGATCCGAGGGTCTAGGATTCAGACTTAGGCTGCCTAAGCTTTCTGGTCCCCGTAGGGTTCTGTATTTCACGTAGGTTATCAGCCGGTAGTAGGTTCTAGGGCTGTGAGCTTTAAGATAGGCCTTTTCTTTAGGGTCCGGCACTTAGTGCGGGTGCTGTGACGCCATGGATTCCTTTACACGTCAGCGAAGGGGCTCTGGAGGAAGGGATATCGAGGTCCCTGCTGGAGCTTCTGAGCCAGATTATCAGGCAGCCTTGGGCCAAGAGGACAGCGAGCAACAGCCTGCACCTGTACGTCTGGGAGAAATGTCTCCGGGCATGTTGGAGCAGGGCGGGGTTCCGGCAGAGCCGGAGACGCCTGCCAACTTGTTTGTGGCAAGTCCTTTTCATTCTGAGAAGGTGAAATCAGAAGTGGAGCTTCTCAGATCGAGACCGGCGACGTTGGATGATGACGGAAGGCGTGCTGGAATCGATTACGATGAGGCAGCTCTTGGAGATTCGAGCTTTTTGAGTGGCGGCAGGGAACCGGACTATAGCTTAGCTGGCCATGGATCTCGTGGAGGAGCTCCTAAGCTGGCCCGAGTGGAGATAGCAGGCGAGCATGCTGTTGAGCAGTCTGGTGAAGCCGAGGAGCAAAAGCCTGGCATAGTTGAGGTGCAACCTGAGACTGGGCGAGGCTGGGAAATTACTGGCAAGGGTCGGGGTGCAAATCCGAGGGATGGATCCGCGAGCACTTTTGCTGGTGAGAAACCGGGAGCTTCAGACGCTCGAGAGCTCATTCCTGACTCTGGTTTTTCCAGGATGGAACAGATGATGTTGCAAGTGATGCAGGAGAATGCTGCTCTGCGGCAGAGACTGGAAGCGGTGGAGTCTCAGTCAAGCGGCCTGAGTGGAGGAACCTGTGTGACAGCGCTCGAAGCTCAGGTCAGTTCGCCGATGTCTTTCGCTGGGAATGTACAGAGTTGCGTGGCCGCGCCACGAGAGAATCGTCTTGTACAGATGCCGAGTGCGTTTCCGGGCAACGATTTCCAAGGTTCTGAATTGTCAAGGGGGTGGTTTGAGACTGCTAGGGTAGCTCAGCCTCCTGGCATGTGTCCGCCGCCTTGTGGAGCTTTGGTTGGGAGTCCCACCGAGCGGGGTGGGTCGGGTCAAGGTTTCGAGTTCTGTAGGGTTAGGCATGAAACTTCGGTGCCGTTTATGCCTGGGATTAGGTCACCACCCCCTAGGCCGCCCAGTGTACCCCTTCGGACTTTGGTTGAAAGGGATGAAGGGTGGGGATCAGGGACTCAGACTTTGGGACAGTTCGCTTCGTTTGCTTTGGCGTCAAGGGAGGGTCAGGGTGAGTCTGGCTATCATACACCAAGATCCGTAGGAGCTTCGGGGTTGGCTGGGTTCAGTTCTGATGGATATCCGCTGTCGCCGGGTGGTACTGTCATCCGACCTCCGCCAGGGCCTCCCCCAATGTCACCTCGAGGGGTTCAGGCTTATGGATCCGGGCACTTGGGAGCAAATGCTGCTGAATGTGGGGTGATGTCCGGGGGTTCCCGGGGTCCAGGATATTTGGCTGGCGTTGAGGATTTTGCGCGTGGGGAAAAGGGGATACCGAGTCAAGGCGTTCCAGGGTCTTCTCCCACTGTTGCAGAGGGGATCTCGTCCTTTAGCGCTCCTGGGGCATTTCCTGAGGAACCAGCGAAGTACATTATCGACCTGCCTAAGCTTGCTGCTGCTGACTTGACCACTAGCGCCGTAACATGTGGCAACTGGCTTGCGCAGACACGCCAGGTTTTCGCGGGGCTTTCGCCGTCAGCGTCTGTTTGGTTCAGCTCGGTTGAGGGCGCGGCTAATGCAAGCTATCAGCGTTGGCTTGTAGCAGATCCGTTGGAACGGCTAGCTCTCGATCCCTCCACGGTTGTTGCTCACTATGATGCCGTCAAGTACCAGCGCGTAGAAAGTAGGGCAGTATCGTTGCTGTTGTCGTGTGTCCCTCAGAGTTTCAAGGATGAGCTAGTTACTAACCGTTGGATGACAACTGCTTCCATACTGTATCGGATTCTTTGCGTTTACCAACCAGGGGGCAGCACGGAGAGGGCGTACCTCCTTTCGCGTCTTGTTCAGCCTGATCCATGCAAGTCATTTAAGGATGCGATTTCAGGTTTGAGGCGATGGCAACAGGATCTGATCAGGGCACGGGAGATACAAGCAACCCTCCCGGACCCCAGTCTACTTCTGAAAGGGATAGATGCTGCTACCAGCTCTCTTCTAGCTCTTCAGCCAATGGTGGCGTTCCGAGTTAGCGTGTTTAGGCATAAAAGCTCAATCGACTACAACCCGTCGGTAACGGGGGTTACGCAGCTAGTGAAACTCATTCAGGCTGAGCGCGAGTCTCTGGCCATGACTGTTGAGTCTCCTCCGGATAAAAAGGCCAGAGCTGCTGCTGCTGCTGCTGCCGCTGCGAAGGCCCCAGACCCCAAGCTTCCCAGCACATCTGCATCTTCTCAGACGCCGAGTCCCACTGTGGCAGCGGTATTTGGAGAGGCGGACGCTGGTAAAGGTAAGGGTAAGTCCTCGAAGGGTTCTGGTAGTACGGTTGAGTGTTTCAGGTTTGGTGACGGTACCGGGTGTCGCTTTGGGGATAGCTGTACTTTCAGGCACGATAGGGCTAAAGCTAGAAGGCAAAGTAGGTGCTTGGCTTGTGGTCAGAGCGGACACTACCGGCCGGACTGTCCGATTGTCCCAGCAGAGCTCAGACAGGTGCTGCCAGAGGGTGGATCGCCAAGTGCCAAGAGTCCTCCTAGCCCTAAGAAATCAGAGGCGAAGCCTAAGCCGAAGTCCCAGCCTCAAGCGAAGGGTATATCTGAGGATGCACCCTCTGGAAGTGCCGGTGCCAGGAATTCTGAAGCCTCTAGTGCTTCGGGTGCCAAGGAAGCCTTGTTTGCTGAAGCAGCCAAGCTTTTGCAAGGTGCAAGCGCAAAGGTTTTGAGGGTTGGCGAGTGGAACATAGATGAGACTTGGCTCTGTAGCGCTGTGAGTGCATCCAATCTTGAGTATGCCTTGATTGACTCTGGTGCCACAAACGCCTTGAGGTTTGCTTGTTCTGAGGAGCTTCGTGGGGCTGAGTCCATTCGGGTTGATCTGGCATCAGGTGTCACTGAATTGCACGTCAACGAGTATGGGACCTTGCTTAGCCCTGTTGATTGCCAGCTCATATTGCCTGCCGGGTACTTAGTCAGTATGGGTTACCGTATCTCTTGGGGGAAGAAGGGTTGTAGAATACGGCATCCCAAACTCGGAGAGCTTGAGGTGAGTGTGGTGAAGGGATGTCCTTTGGTACCTAGGGAACTTGGGATGCGGCTTCTGGATCAGTATGAAAGGTTTAGGGCAGGGTCTCGTTCGGTAAAGGGATTGACATGCTCTGAAGCTGGGGAACAGCTTAACGCGAAAGAAGTGAAGATGTGGTTAAGGGATCAACTGAAGCAGTCGGCTGCCGGGTTGCTAGATCGGGTTACTCAAGTGAGCCTTTTGAGGAGTGTGTTTCCTGGGATCTCGGATTGGGTTCTAGAGAGGACGGTAGTTGATCCGGAAGATCCCTTTGCGGGTTGCCAGGGTGTTGCTCCTTGGAATCGCAGGCTTAGGAGGAGTGTTGATCGGGATACGCAAGGGTCGGTACTTCTTCGTGTTGGGGCTGTAGGCGACAAGTGGAAGGGTCCTGGACGAGTAGTAGAGCTTCGGAGGGACTTCGGTAGTGATCTCGGGATTGTGCCGGTCTTCCTTCAGGTTCTAAAGTGGGCTCAGTCTGGTGTTCTTGGAGGAATTGTGGCTTCTACCGAAGAAAAGGGTTTCGAACTGGGAAGTAGTCTTTCGGACAGTGAAAAGGAAGCTGCGTTGAGAAAGCAGGTATCATGGTTCAGGTTATGCTTAGTGTATATGGTGGCGCAGGCAGCTGCTGAGAACACTGCTTGTGAAGTTACCGAGCCGCGTGAGCCTGCTGGTGAGGGCGAGTCAGGGTCCGGAGAGCCTCCTCAGGGTCTTGATGATCCTCATGAAATAGCCTTGTGGGCTTTACGGAGGGCCGCTGTCAAGCTTCAGATGTCGGTTGAGCCGGAGTTGAGTGACCTAAAAGGGGGGCCCCGAGCTGCAGAGAGTCCGCCTGTATGCAAAGGTGGTCAGACAGAGAGGGCTGTCTTCTTTGTCTTAGAGGGGTCCTTTGATGGGTTGACTAGGCCTGAAGAAGTGGAAGGGCTCCGTGAGGCATATGGGTTGTACCGGGTATCTTTTGATCAGGGATGTCTGGGAAATTTGGCGCGGGATTCCACTGTCCTTGTGACCTCTTCGTGGGATGTGTTCGAGAGCCTACATGCCCTGCGGGTTCCGGAACATATTCAAATGCCTGAGTCTTCGAGGATCAATGGGAGTCGGGTTTGGGCTCCAGGTTTGATTGGGTGTGTGAAAAATGCTTGGGAGAAGTGCCGACGTAGTAGGCTTGAAGTTGGGGACCTGAGTGAGCGCCGAGCTTTGTTGGCGAAGCTAACCGAAGAGGAGACTCTTCGTAGGCATAGGGCCAACGATCATATCCCTTTTAGGAGGGGGTGTGGTGACTGCATAGCTGCTCAAGGTCGCCAGCGGAGTCATTGGCGATCTCGGATCACCACCTTGTACTCTTTGAGTGTCGACATTGCTGGACCGTTCAAGGATGGTCGCAGTTTTGACCCGATTGCGTCTGGCAGGGATCGTGGACGTGGCTATAAGTACTTCATTGCTGCAGCGTACTCGATACCCTTGAGTCCCGAGTTGCGACCTGATTTGAGTCCTCCTGATGATCTAGCTGAGTATTGTCCTTCTGAGTGTGAGCAAGAAGCTGCAGGGGTAGGACCTATAGCCGATGAGGCGTCTGAGGATTGCTCTGAGTGGCTGGACGGGGTACATGAGCAGATTGCTGGAGGGTTCTCTAGTAAGGCCTTGTTCCGTAGGGTAAGAGGCAAGACGTTCCCTAGGGTTGATCCGTTACAAGACGGAGCTGAGTTTGCAGAAAGAAAGGCTCCTGGCCCTGATTTACCGGGGAACGCTGCAGACGGGGCAGAAGAGGAGCCGAAAGTCGTCACGAAAACCCTTTTTCTTGGGATTCCGTTGCGCACCAAGCGTGGCTCTGAAGTCATGGGACAGGTTCAAGCTCTGGTCAACAGGTTGGAGTCGTTTGGGTACCCTGTTCACCGCTACTTCGCAGACCGTGCTAAAGAGCTGAGGAGCCATGCTTTGATTCAGTGGCTTCGAGAACGCGGCATTCGTGCCTCATTTACCGCAGGAGAGGATCCTGCTGGAAATAAGGCAGAGGTCAGTGTCCAGCGGTTGAAGCAAGATGCCAGGAAACTCCTTCGCGTTGCCGATCTGCCAATCGAGTTTTGGCCATTTGCTATTCTTCATGCTTCGCAAAGACACTTTGTGCAAATGGCTGAGGCTTTGGGTGTGGGACAGGCTGTCCTTTTACCGTTTGGGGTATGGTTGCATGCGCGAAAGCGTTTGAAGTCGGGTCATAAGAAGCATTGGGAGACACGAACTGTTCCGGGCAAGTACCTGGGGGTTGCAACTGATTGTGCTGGTGGGCACCTGGTGTGAATCCAGGATGGGTCCGAGCAGCGTGTTTTGCTAACCAACACTGTCTACCCTGTTGATCCTTTGACAGTCCCGAAACCCAAGTTTCGTTTGACTACCAAAACCCCGCCGGGTTTTGTTGTTCGGGCTGTGGCTGCTAAGAGCGCCAGATGGCCAACCGGCCGCTCTTCTGTTGCCAGGTTTGCACCTGGGGGGGAGTGCGTTGGGTGTTTGAGAGATTTCGAAAGTTCTGAGGGGCCGAAGTTTGAGACCGGGCTTGAATCAGGGTCTTCCAGTCTTTCCGAAGAGGCTTCAGATGGGGATCTTGGTGTAACTACGGATGAGGAAGGGTTTCAAGAACTCCAGGTTGATGGTACGACCGTGAAGCTTCTCTTTGGAGATTCTGGTGTTTGGCTGGGAAATAAGCTTGAGACTGGTGACTACAGCACGGTTGAGGCATTAGAGGTGCTTAGAAGGTGTGCTGACAAGCTTCCTCCTCCAAATCGAAGGGTATTGGGTGGAAAAGGTAGGTGTGCTGTGATGGGGTTGTACAATCAGGGGGGTTTTCAAGGCGTGTCGAGGTTCGCCAAGGATCATGGGGATCTTGTGCGTTACTTGAACAAGTTTGTTCGAGCTCAGGGTTGCGAACATCCTTACACTACCCTGTACCTTACTCGTAACACCTCTACCCCTTTGCACCAGGATGCTAGAAATGAAAGAGTGGTACCGGTTTGGGTGATTGCTCTTGGGGAGTTTCAAGGAGGTGGCTTGTGGGTTGAAAGTTCCGATGGCCAGGGTCCTGTTTTAAGACAGTTGCCGGGGGGTGACTTAAGGGCTGGTTTTGTCAGGGATATTCATGATAACCCGTGCACCTTTAGTGGTCAATTGTGGCATTGCGCTGAACCTTGGTGTGGCAAGGATAGGTGGGTGATTGCTGCCTATGCTCCTCGGGGTACATGGAAGATTCTGAACGAATACGCTCGTGAGCTTGAGAGCTTGGGGTTCGATTCTAAAGGGTTGGATCACCTTTTCGCTGCAGAGCGTGCTTCGATTTCAAAGTTTAATGCTGAGGGTGATGAGGACTTGACCTCTGAGGGGCTTTGGGAAGTTGAGTTTCCTTGTGAAGTGTTGAAGCCTGGTTGGCGTGAGCACGTTTTAAGAAATCACCTGTCCTCAGCTTTGGCGTGTAAAGCCCTTGTGAAGGAGCTTAGCTGTTTTGGAAATGATGATGTAGGCTACGAATTGATTCGGACCTTGAAGTCGGTTGAATGCCAGCGCGAGTGGTATGAGGGACTTCTGTGGGATGACTTTGTCAGGAATTCTGGGAGTATGTTAAAGGCTTTGAATCAGGATGTTCCTCTGAACCCGGAAGACCAAACCAGCCCTGCCGAAGCTTTTCTCCAAACGAGGACAGTAAGCTTAGCTGAGGCAAAGGGTGAATTGGTGCTATGGATACCTTCGGCTACTGAGGAAGTTGTCTCTTTGGAACAAACGAATGAGGCTGTTGAGCGCATTGTCGTGTCGGACATTGAGCGGTTGATTCAAGAAGGAAAAAGGGTAACCCAGGTTCCAGGAAAGGCAGTCCTAACCAGGAAGGCTGGTGTTGGGAAACGCCGATTCAGGTGTGTCGCGTGTGGGAACTACATCCCCACTGGCTCTCCTGATTCCAACAACCTTTATGCGAGTGGCGTTGAAAGCTTGACTGTCAGAACGGCATTAGGTTTTGCTGCTTACCGTGGTTGGGCAGCTTTGAGCGCCGACATAAGGACGGCCTTCCTTCACGCGCCGTTGGACGGCGAGCTTGAGTCCGAAGAAATTATCATTGTCAGGCCTCCATCTATTCTTGTAGACATGAAAATTCTTTCCCCGAATCATCGATGGCGCGTGCGTAAAGCACTGTATGGGTTACGACAAGCTCCCTTGGCTTGGGCCCGGTTCCGAGATAAGTCATTGCGGGTGCTGACCTTTCAGTGTGACGGTGCATGGTATGCCTTGCAGCAGGGTGTCAGTGATGATTCGCTTTGGTTCATCACTAAAAGCGAGATTGCCGAGGATGACACTGAGCGTTGGCATGGTATCTTGATCATTTACGTTGACGATCTTTTGGGTTTCGCTTCATCGGTGATCCTTAGTGCCCTTTTCGATGAAATACAGAAGCTGTGGAAGCTTTCGGAACCCGAGTGGATTCGGGAGGAGGCTGCCACTAAGTTCTGTGGGTTGGAAATCCAGGCCCTACAACGAGGAGGGTATCGCATATCGCAGGTTTCCTATTTGCAGGAGCTTTTTGCAAGATACGACGTCACAAGCAGTGCAAGTGCGCCCTTGAGTAATTGGACTGATCCGGAAAATGAGCAACAGGTGCAGTTGGAGACTGTCCGGAAGGCGCAAGCCCTGACAGGTGCTTTGCTTTGGGCTTCGTCGAAAACCAGACCCGATATTGCTTTTGCTGTCAGTAAACTTGGGCAATATGCTGTGAAGGCGCCAAGCATTGTGATTGAGAGCGGGCATCAAATCCTGCGCTACTTGTATGGTACGGCGGACCTGTGGCTGGAATACCAGAAGCCAAGCGACAATTCCTGGCTTGACGCTCCGGTTCCTCGAACTTTAAATACTCTGGAGTTGTACACCGACGCTTCCCATGCCCCTAACGGGGGGCGATCTTGCCAAGCGATGGTCATCCTATGGGGAGGAAATGTGTTATGCTGGGAATCCTGTCGTCAACCGTTTGTGACTCTGTCCTCTACGGAGGCAGAGCTAGTTGCAGTCACCGCCGGAATAGTTGCTGCAGAATCAATTGGGGGCATCATTGAGGAAATGATCGAGTCCGACATCACGGTCTCTGCCTTGTGTGATAACCAGGCAGCGGTAAGGTCGTTTGCTGTTGGAAGTCTCGGGTGGCGTAATCGACATCTTCGCATGAGAGCTGCAGCTGGGCGTGAACGTATAGATGCGGGATCTCTAGTAGTCACCTATGTTCCAGGATCGATTCAGCTCGCAGATATAGCTACGAAACCACTGTCTCGAGCTAGGATTCTTCAGCTTGCGGAACTAATGAATATGCGAATGAGACTTTCGCCAGCTGGGGCAGATGATTCGATCCGTACAGTCAGCAGGTTGTCTTCCAGCTTCGGATCCCAGGGATCTGTCTCTCCCCGGACCTTAGCGGGTCTTGCATTGGTTGCTGTGTTGTCTGGTGTCCGAGCTCAACCGGCATTGCGAGTTGAAGAAAGGATTGAATGGATTCTTTGGTTCTTCGGAGTTTTGGTGGGTTTGGTTTTGCTTGCTTGGGCTCAGTGGTTCCTTGGTTTAGGTTTCAGAGGCTTTTGGCGGGGGGAACAGTTGCGGGAATTAGTAGGCGATGCTGTCAGTCTTGGGGGTTTGGAGTTTGCTGCCGAGGCTCAACAGGACTTCGGGGTTGGAAATGAGGTTTCCCTGGCTTCTGAAGTTGAAAGTAGGGCTGGTTCTGAAGGTGATGGGTCTGAACAGTTCTCTGAAACTGAATTGCTGGAGGCGCAGCGCAAACTTCAGGAACGGGAGCGCAGCAGTCAGCGGGAGCGCAGCAGTCAGCAGGTTCCTCCAAGTCCCGATGTGCAGATTGGGGGGAGCAATAGCAGTCAGCAGGTTCCTCCAAGTCCCGATGTGCAGATTGGGGGGAGCAATAGCAGTCAGCAGGTTCCTCCAAGTCCCGATGTGCAGATTGGGGGGAGCAATAGCAGTCAGCAGGTTCCTCCAAGTCCCGATGTGCAGATTGGGGGGAGCAGTAGCAGTCAGCAGGTTCCTCCAAGTCTCGGTGTGCAGATTGGGGGGAGCAGTAGCAGTCAGCAGGTTCCTCCAAGTCTCGATGTGCAGATTGGGGGGGGCAGTCGCAGTCTGCAGGTTCCTCCGAGTGGTGTTGAAAGCTTGACTGTAAGAACGGCATTAAGCCTTGCCGCTTACCGGGGTTTGGCAGCTTCGAGCGCCGACGTACGGGCGGCATTCCTTCACGCGCCGTTGAACGGCCAGCCTGAGTCCGAAGAGATTGTCACTGCGCAGTCTCCATCCATTTCCGTGCTGAATCTCCTTGACTTAGAAGATGACCCTACTCCAGATGATAGGCCCCATAGAGCTGTAAGTCCCCGGGTTCCTGTAGAAGGTCAATTTTTCCTTGGGGAAGGGTGGTCTTCTTCTGAAAGCGAAAGCGGAGATTCGACAACTGAGCCGTCGATATTTTCTGTGTCTAGCGGAGATGCTGCTGTCGATGAAGAAGTATGGGTTATTCATGATGCCGAGGCCAGACTTGCCCAGGCAGACGAGCCACAACCTTTAGGAGTGAACTTCCGAGCTGAGCATGAAGTGCTAATAGGGACCTATGCTGACGACGAGGTTAGTATAGCGCTTCAGGGATGGTCCCAGGCTGAGGTTGAGACTATTGTTACCGGGCTGAATGAGGGTGAATGGACGTCGTTTCATGCAATGCTGGCACAGACCAGCAATCAAGAAAGTCAGAGTTCCACTCAAGTTCAGGGTTCGCAAAGTGTGGTTTGGGTCGTCGGGGTCGGGGTCGGTTTATCTCTTGTTGGGGCATTCGTTCAGTTGTGGAGCGTTAGTTTTGTGGCGTGTTGGTTCTTGCTGCTTTGGTGTAGGAGTAAGGGGGATTTTGCAGGGACTTTTGGGAGGATTTGGGGTGTGCGGCCAAGGAGTGATAGGCGCTGGGTCGTACTTCTCTATGTTCTCTGGTTAGTCCTGGGCGGCATTCTTCCTAGTTCTGCAGAGGTAGTAACCTATGGGGATGAACCGGTTTCTTTCGGCAGGTGGGATGAACCGACTGGTAGCTCCACTGGGGTTGGCGATGTGTGTCTGGAGGATGAGCAAGGGTCTAGCTCTGAAGAAGCCGGGAGCTGGGACTGGTGGCTGTGGGTTGCCTGCGTGATTGGAATCTGGGAAATCGTTCGTGCCTTATCTCTTCGTGTGTGCAGAAGTAGAAAGACAGTGCAGGATCAGGCAGTCAGCGCCGAAACGGTGCCGTGGCCTTTGCATCCAGGTATCCCTCACCGAGCGAACATCTTGTACTGCTACTGGCGTGCAGGATACGTGTTTGACGTACAAGAATATCCTGAAGCGGTTCAATCACGATTTTATGGCCTCCTAGGCTCTCACCTTGAGAGGCGTGACAGAGATGGCTTGTCCTCCACAGACTCTTCTGATTGAACTGATTTTGGGGCATTCTGAATAAGATCAGCGGTGTCCTAAGTTGCGGATGCTGGCAACTGCCAAAAAAAAACCAAAGGAGACGAAGACTATCAGCTGTTATCTCCAGAATATCTGGGCTTTTAATCCTCATGAAGCTAAGTCTTGTGGGGGGTGTAGGATCATAGCTATAGTTTTCGGTCTCTGCTTGCATGCGTGGATGCCTCTTGATCCGACATCGAACTGCTCCAAAGGAGAAAGGGCTGCCGAAACAGAACGGCCTGTTCGAAATAGGGTCAAACATTTGTACAACGAGGCTTTTGTCCACTTTTGCAACCAAAGGACGATCCATCTGGGCTCGGGCATATAGAATGCTGATGTTTTCCTGGTGATGCATTCCAATCACCTGAGTCTTGGAGTCTCAGGTGAGGGGGAGTGCGTGAAGCATCCTGGCCGCTCAGGTGGAGACGTTGTTGCGTTACCGAGGCTGTCTTTTGTTCGAAAAAATCGAGGCGCGATCCGAGGGTCTAGGATTCAGACTTAGGCTGCCTAAGCTTTCTGGTCCCCGTAGGGTTCTGTATTTCACGTACTTAGGAGTGATACGTCTGATACGTCACGAGGCTTCGCAGCGAACAGTCATTCTAGCAGCAATAGCGCTGCCAAAGGTACGCCTTGAGCTTTTCCGAGAGCTTCTTCGGGAGCTCGAGCTCATGCCACTGCCGCTGCTCCGGCTGCGGCTTATTCGCTCCGAAGACAAGAGGTCGAAGCACACAGAAGCCTTATCAGATCTTATCAGTTTCTAAGAGGTTCCCTTGAGGTTCTCGCACGCATAGGGGGCTTCTTGGAGCATGTGTTTTTTTTGCTACGGGGATGCCCTTCAATAAGGAGATGTCAATGTTCATGCAGAACTCATACTCAGCAGTGATGCAACTGGGGAGCTTACCATCGAGAATTACTATGACATTGCAATAGGGTTCCGAGTCATGCTACAGCGAGAGAGAGAGAGAGAGGGTGACAGACACTTAACATCACATCATATGAATCATATCATATAGTCCGTTGAAGTTACGTAACGATATAGGTACAGCGAGTTACCATGTCCCATCTCGTCATGTGGATTGTTGCAGCTTCGTCCTCCGGCTACTCGCGGCTGTGTCAAAAAACATCGGCAAGCAAACGCCGCAGACACTCGGCAGACCCTCATTTTCAACGCACAAACTTCTCTTACATTCGTGAATACTCCCGTTCGTGTGTTAGAGGTGCTGATCACGTTCATCATGTGCACCGAAAAAGCCCCCAGTTTGGAGAACAATGTGCAGATGTTGTAAAGCTGTCCAGTCGAACCCATGCCACAGCAAAGGGCGCGCAGCACGTGAAGCCAAACGGCATTTGACGTTTTGGAACTCCACGTTGTCTGAGCATGGGCACACGAATGCACGACGTGTGCGCAAAACGGATCAAACGACGCTTCGAGAAGGCTCGAGACACACGGGTATGGCGGTTACTGCCTTGATGTTTAGAGTCCGTCCTGGAGCCCTACCCTCACGCAGGACTCACACAGGGTCATACGCAGCTATCTTGATTTAAACTAGGTGTTGACATTAATTTAGGGCTTCCATCGGCTTCATTCTGCACTCCCCGAAAGCCCGTGAGTTGGCTAGATTGATGCTAAACAACCTTTGCTCCTTTGATGCAGGACACGACCTCGCGACCGCCCAGGCTGCCAGCAAAACCGCTACAGCCAGCCGCAGCCGCCACAACCACTCCGCCGAAACCACTCAACAGTGTGGCAGCTGCCATTGCCTTTGATTCGCACGCAGAACAGATGCGTTGCTCGCCCTTCTGACAAACTCTTCAACTCACTTGATATTCACTTGATGATGACCCCTAGGAGATCACAGAAGGACTCAGCTGCCGGCGCCAGCCACCCCTCCGGCAGCACTTCCAGAGACTTCCACCGCTCGGTTCAAGGCCACAGGTCCGGTGATCTCGTTGTGCACCCAGGAATAACCCTCGAAAAACTCAAAGCAACAGCAACAAAAAACTGCAAAACTCGGGAGCCAACTCCTAGGCGAATGATGACAGCACACTTGTTCTCTGAAGGCACTGCATCCATGTCAAACTGTCAAAACGCCTTCGTCCACTTAAGAAAGCCATAACACAAACTGGAGTACTCTGGTAAAACTTTCTTGTTACAGATGTCGTTCACGGATATTGGTCGCAATCTGACAGTGGGGCGGTGTCACTGTCTACAAGACACTACTGGACGTCACTTGCCAGTGCCTGCGCCATCCATTCGCGCATCAAGCCGTAGCCTGGATGTTTGGATGTTTGGTGGCTCTGCGCAACGTATCAAACGTCTCTACAGTCTCTGATTCATTCTGATTCGTGGAAAGATGTCTTGGGGGCGGCCCGAAAAGACAGGTCCCGGACCTGCCACAAAACATTCGATCGGGGGCTTCTCTGAAAAGAGTACTCCAAGGATACTCGGGTCTCTCTGCGGGCTTCTCTGGGGTGAGCTTCTATCAGGAATGGCACACTCCAGGGACTGTGTGTGGGCTTCTCTGGGCAGACGGTGTTTCGCGCGCGGCAGGTGTGGTGATTGCTGGTGAAAGGGTTCTCCTGCCGCTTCCATCCTGCGTCCGGCTGATCTTGTCAAGACACTGCCGTGACAGTGCAAGCATAAGTAAACACCACCTGGACCTGCATCCTGGCCCGGGCAAAGGGAAGTGCAGAGGGGAAGCGCGAAAAAAGACGATGAGCCACGTTCATGATAGAAGCGCATCTGTGGCACGTGCGCTCAGGGTTCCCATGTGCGTGCAGGACTTGCATCATCAAAGCCAGTCTTCAGAGACCTGCAGATCAGCATCCGCGCAGCACAGCTGTTCACATCGCTCCGCGTAGTTCAGAGCAGCGCTCGTTTTCAGATCGTCAGCACAATTGAGAAGCAAACCCGGCTTCAGAACACTCTGCTAGGCTGGTTTTGACAAAGGTACCGGAAACCTACCACAGCAACTAACATCATTGTCGTCATTGATAAGGATTTAATCGGGCCGTAGGTGTATGGGGAGCACAAAGCAGGTTTGCCTATAATGGGCGGACCCCCACCCAAGTGACCACCACCTCCACTGACCACCACCCCACACACCCCCCATGCACCCCCCCCCGCCCCCACCCCGCCCAACCCGCCCCCACCCCGCCCAACCCGCCCAACCACCTTCACCCTTCCAATAGACTGGCCTCCACCTTCCCACCCTATTTCGCTCCAAGCTTTTCAAGCACCTCTCAGGCCCCCAGGCGGGTCGCGTATCGCAAGAATTAAGAAGGAACTGGAAGCTCTTGCAATGCTAAGGTGGCGACCAACGAATATTGCCTGTGCTGGAAGTACCGGACTTTGCAAGAGACAAAGCGCTTAAGCATCTGGGCCTCTGCAGGCCAACCCGAAAAAGTTCTGCCAAGATCTGCCCAGCTGCTGTAGGAGCAGTCGGACCGAGCATCAACGCCATGCCACCTCCTGGATGTGACATACATGTCAGACCATGTCAGAGGGTTGTCATGAGCTGTCAAAACGAGCATAATAGAGCAGCGCGCATTCTCAAAGCAACTATCCTGCTGCACCAACGACAGCACCACGCATGGCAGCTGAGGCTATGCTTGCAGTTTGATCTGCCACATTGCCTGACATTGCAACAGAAGGGCATGCTGGATAATACCGGCTATACAGAATGTAACTTGGCTTTGCCGAGCTCCAGCCTCGTTTCTCGGCCAATGTTATTTGCATTGCCTGAAGCGGCTCAAGCGCGACTGCACCATGAGAGTCTGCAAGAGGCGACACCATTCTATCCGCTGCTACTACCCACCCAAGCTGCTACATCTCCTTCCGGCAGACCCCCAAAGGCCTTTAAAGTCATTGTTACAATCAAACCACCGATGAACTCCAAATACCCGTAAAGACACTGATGGATCAAGCAAACAGCAGTAGCAGTAGCCGCAGAAAATGGGCGAATAGGAGTAGCAAGCGTTGTAGCGATACTCAGCAATAGCAGTTTGGAGCAGCTGGAGCTGATCTTCACACAATCTTCGCCTCAACGGCAATGGTCGACACGACACCGAAGACTGCTCCCTGGTGCATGCTCATGCCGAGGGATAAGCTGGCCGGAATGCCAGCTTGCCTTAGATCTGTGCAAGGAGAGGTGAGCCATGTTGTCAGATCTCAGATCTCCATACCTCAATAGTAACTGCCCGATACCTGCTCTGCCTGATCATAGCAGTGCCGTATCGCTTAAGGCTTTGCCACTTTGCCTTTGCCTTGTCTAAGCGCGCAAAAAGAGGGGGCGCTCAGCGGAGTGATTGCGGAGTGAGTGCATTGGGAACATGTTTATGTTCTTTCCAAAATCGACTCACCTGTAGGACTGGAGCCCGCGTGGGGAGACCCAGCAGGCAACTCACACCATGGGGTGCAGTGTGTCTCAGCACGCCTCTGCATCAGCACCGCAGCATTTCTAGCTTAGAAAAAAATCAAGACACTGCGTGGTAGAGTGTGAAGTTGCCTTAGAAAGACACCAAGAGTATCACGCTTACCATTCCAGAACAGCTCACCTCCGCTCAGTATCGCTCATGCCCACGCCCCAGTAAACTTCGAGACGATTCGACAATGGTCGACACAACTTGCACTCTTGCCATGTAATGCACATTCTTGCACCTTGCTGCACAATGCCGCACAAGCTGCGCCATGGCATCGCTAGCAGAATGGTCAACCTGCTGCTGTTGCATTAGGGCCTGCCACTGCAGTTGCATGAGTTGACTCCTGGCGCAGGCTACAATACCGACGAGCTAACAATGGAGTTGCGTGCAGGCGCCTCATGCCGCTGTAACGCAGCAGCAGTCAAGGGCGTGCTGGGAGGCTCCACGGGAGCTGGCACAACCTCAGACGACTCTTCTTGATAGCACCGCACATCTGCCGATGCGGACGAATGACAGTGGGACTGAGATGGAAACATTGGCTCCGCTAGCTGGCAGAATTTCTGGAGGTCTCACATGCACCACGACTGGCGGCAAGACCTGTCCAACATCAGATATCACCTGGGTGGGAACACAAATCAACCCGCGATACTGCCCAAGAGCTGCTACAACTCTACAACTGATTGAGTTGAAATGCAGCCACCCTGCCACAGGCCCATTGTGATGGTGATGGTGGTGGTGGTGAACAAGTCCCCTGCTGAATGCCCGACGGATGCGAATCTTGAAATGAGGAGCCTTCCTCAGCACGCTCACTATGAGCGTTGTCGACATGGACCCACAAGACAGAAGTGTCACGACTGTACACTGCACATGCGCAGCACATGCGCAACACTGCGCAGCTGTGTCACCTCAACATTCGGCTCTGCGGCCCTTGGGCCTGACAGCAAGAAAGCCACACAAAGCCACACAAAACCACAACTCAGTCACCCTTCTTGGGCACTTGACTGCTGCTTTGTGCTATATGTGCTAGCGGTGGAAACATTTCACCTCGTTGAAGCGTGTTCGAAGCACTGCCTCGGCCGAAGCACGAAGATGCCGACACAGGGTTTCCCACTAGTTTCCCCTCATGTTTGGGACTCCCACACTTTGACACAGATATACACAGACTGCATGGCAGGCCAGCTGCTACGCCGTCAGGGTCTGCATACAGTGGCGCTTCAGCATCGACAATTGCTGCACGAGGGGCCCTCGGTTTCTACATGGTTCAAGGAATTCCGGAATATCAGGTTGCACAGCACACGCCTGGGCACATCCACATCACAAGGCTTTCCAAAAAGTCCGTGCAAGCTGGTGTCACAGTGCTGTGGTAGTGATGCCCTGGAGGCCCTGGAGCATGGTACCTGCAAATGACTGTGCACATCTCGGAGTCTGTTTTGAAGAGCTGGAAACTCTAGTATCTCTAGTCGTGGTCCTCGGCGCTTTTGGAACATGTACTCGGAGCGATCCCTGTGGTGCGACGGGTTCTACCTGCCATTCCGAGATGCCGAAGCTTCTCCAGGGAACAGCACAGAGATTGCCTGGTCCAGAACATCCTTCACCCTGAACGCCGCGAAAGCTTCATCAGACGGCAGCACGGCCATCGGCCTGAGGGAAACACTTCCTAATTACACCAAATTAAGCGGCGTCCCGGCATCCTTGTTTCATTATCGTAGGGCACCGGCTGCGGCGTCTGCTCTGGATGTGCTGGCACCGGTGAACGCATCTGCAAAAGCAACAATTTCTGATGGGAGCTCATCACGAATCAGAAATAATCAGAATGCAGGCGCGCCTCGGCCGAATGTCTAGCTCTTGGACTGAGATCTTGGACTTCAGGAGTGTCATGAAAGGACACCCGACGTGCTCGCAGTTGGCCTGGAATTGCCTCAAGCCAAATCGCACGATGAAACAGCTACAGTACAGCTACAATACATCTACAAGTCTTCTTTCCTAAGAGTTCGCAACAGTTGCAGTGCCATCGGCCGCAGAAAAAAGTAGTTGCTGAGAGGGATCACCCCGGCGGGATACCCCAGGATTCAGCCCACGATTCACCGAGTCACCGACTCTCGCCGCAGAGCAGATCTTGTTACAAGAGACGGTTGCCCTGTCAGCGCATTGGGCGCTGAATGCCGCCTGAATGCAGTCGGAGTCCTGGACGGCAACACCTGAAGTCAGACGAATCAGGCGAGTTTACACGAAATGCACGACTTGTTACGGACAGGATGCGGCAGCGAAACTTAGAAAAGCACATTCTGTTTTCAGGATCGCAGCAGCTCAGTCTTTCGCTTGAAGCAAGTGATTGGTTCATATTGGTTGGTAAGCAACTGCTATCAGTACCGCCGACATCATCCAGGACAGCTCTCGGCCAGGCAGAGATGTTTCACATCGTGACATTCATCGTCATGTCGTACCATGAGCTGCACTCAGCAGCTCTTCGCAGACTATTCTCTCTCTCATTTGCATACGGACAGTTCAGAGCCACCCCTGCCTCAAGCGGTCTCGGACACAGCCATGCGTGAACGGAAGGGATCTCCTGGCCTTGACACCGTCTGACCTCGCAACTGGTGATTGCTGATGCACATGGCAGTCGATGGAAACCACAGTTTGTGCTTGATCGCCGCAATACAATGCATGCGCGTCGCCTTCTGAGAAGGTTCATGTAGCTGTCCATTTCCGGCTTGATCATCTCGCGGCGAAAATCGTCGAACACACTGCACAGGGGTCAGTCTCTTGGATTGGAGTAGAGCCAGTCGATTTATTGTCAATACATCGTCAGTTGCCTCTGATTCTCGTGTTGCAGCTGAAGCTACCGTCACTCGTCGGGATGGCTGCAGGCGTGGCTGCGAGAAACCGCCGCCATCTCTGCTCACAACGCTCACCTACCCATCTGCTCAGTCCCCAATCGATGAAGCAAAACAACAAGACGCGGTTGGACTCTGGATCCCACCAATCCCACCTCAAGCCACCTGGCCCAGCGCGATGCCAAGCAGCTAGCCTTGCATCCAACAATCAGGCAGAGTAGTCTCCGACGGATCTCAGCGATCTCGGCAAGCTAATCGGCAAGCTAAGACAACTAAGAACTAAAACAACGTTTCGGATCTTCTACATTTGCACGTTGCTGCACACAAAAACACCGGACCTCTTCTTGTGAGCGGGCCATCTGGTTATGCCATCCTCAATGAAAAAGCAAGGCGTGGCAGTCAGTGTCTACTGAGACAGATCAACCGTTGATGGCCGCTGGTGCCTCTGCTGCCACTCTGCTTGCCTCTCTTGCCCAGAGGCCGTTGTTAGCCGCTCACTCCTTAGAATGCTGTTGTGACTGGACTGTACCAACAATCAATGACCAAGAAACTGTTGAGCGAGCACATGTCTACATGTATACACATATCCACATACATACACACATACACACACACATACTGACATACATACATACATACATACATACATACGTACATACGTACCTACGTACATACGTACATACGTACATACATACATACATACATACGTGCACAAATCATATGCACATACATATATATATATACATACATACATACATATATATATATATATATATTAATATACATAGATGCATGTGGTTTATATGGAGCGCGTTTTCGCAGGTTGGCCTGTGGGCGCTGGAACCAGGGATCAATAGTTTCGTATGTACAGAATACGTTGATACTTCAATGTCAATTGATTCGTTTTGGCTAGTATTTGATCAATGATCCGCCTAGTAAAAGCACAATTTGTTTGGAGAAACACTTTTCGCCCAGAAAAACATGATTTGCTTAGACAGAGGCGCTGCTTGCAAACAGCCAATAAATAGGTTACTGGGGGGAAGGGGTGGCATATATATATATATAGATATATATATATATACACATACATATGTACAATATCCACATCTCGGCATATTCGATCGCCGAGGCCCTCAATGCTACTGAGATTATCTCTCTGGCATTGTTCTCTGTCATCGTTCCATGGTCTATGCTGCATGGGATCACGCAAAGCAGCTACCCCGACGGCCCGACGCTGCGGACGACGAAGCAGTGCTACCGGCAATTGGGGGACAGACATGGGCAAACTTCCTTCAAGCTCTGACCCAATCTTTCATCACCTGCCTTGCTAAAAATAACATGAGGCTTCTCACGAAACACCTTTGCGCAACATCAATGAAGCTGAATGAGCAAAGATCGGGTCCAGCCTTCAATTTTTCCATGTCAGATGAAGGGTTCCCAGGCTAAAGTCAAGGCGAGACGCTCGCTGGGCACCAGCGCCGGAGCCATGACAGAACTAAATGATCGTTCTTGCCAGTACAAGACCCCAAGACGTCTCGATTGCCTCATTTGTTGTCATTTGTTGCATAGTCACCCAGATCTGTCCTCTCGGTCCTGCACCAGAAAGGTGCTTTGCTTGCGAAGCGTTTGCTTGTCAACAGTCGGCGTCCGAACAGTAGGCCGCGTTGATGCACGAGACGATGTATACATGGAGCCGCCAATACAAGTCGGAAGTTGTGTGCTGTGCAGTGGTGTTCCCTACTACTCCAAACAAAGGGAAAGGGGAAGTGTGGCTCCAAACAAAGGGAAAGGGAGAGAGCGCGAGAGTGAGAGAGGCAAAGGGAGAATGATGCCTAGTAGACGGAGAGAGGTAGAGAGCTGAGATAGACGAAAGGACAAGTACACATATGGTGACAGGGAGAGCGAGAGAGACAGAGAGAGAGAGAGAGAGAGAGAGAGAGAGAGAAGCTCTTCAGGCGGTTTTTGCCGGCAAACTTTCGCCGCTTGGGCCAGATTCAGGAGTCTTTGGCGGCACGATGCTGACAAGCGGCAAGCCCTTAAGGGCTGCCGGAGAACGCATCTTGATGACCATGCTATGCATGGCAGAACTGTGAAGCAACATGCCTCCCTGCCACTTCACGTCCTGAGATGTCCTGAGAACATTCTCAAGCCTTCAACTCTAATCGGAACCACTGGATTCGGGCGACAGCAGGCGCGCGAAGTGTAGAAAAAGGCTTGAACAGCCGGGCGAGAGGCTTTGCTTCAGCAGAGCTTCAAAACATGCACGCTTTGACAAGTCCGCGCAAGACTGTCAAAGACAGACGCCAGCACCCTGACAAGCAATACCAGCCCAACCATGGCTGCAGCACAGCTCATCCGGATCTGTTCATTCTCCGTCTCCAACTGCAATATCTGCTATCTTACTTAATGGGCATGCGTTTCTGGGATCCACACTTGCCGTGCAGTCACCACAGGAAGAGGAGGTTCGGATCCAACTTTTGAAATGTTTGCCTCGAGTGGGGTTTGCTCATCTAACAGACATAGGACCACGTGGAAGTGCTCTGCCGGCTCTGCAGTATCAGGTTGACACTCAAATCCACCGGCGACTTCCCAGGCAAGCTGCCTCTCACCATCACCTTTGTGTTCCTGCGTATAAGGCCCCTTTCGGTAGAATGCAATCTGCCCCACATCGCTTATGTACACACCGGCTTCCAAGAAAGTTCGGGTTCCGGGCTGAGAAGCATCCACCCAAAGATCATCCATGGGCCACATGCGGAAAGAGCCCTCTGGTCGCTGCTGAAACATTGCTCCTGCACTGGGCGAGAACTTGAGCTGCACAGATTGGATATCCTGGCTATCCTTTGATCCTGTGGCTACACCCAACTGACAGGCCTCGCCGTTGCCATGTTCTTCCCAAGCAAACAGAAACTCTGCGTAAAACGGCCAGCCTTTTAAGGTTCCAAATAAAAGAGGAAGAACTGGCTGAGCTGCCCTTGGAAGTTGAGGAGCAACCCGAAAACTGCCACGGTATCCACGGTGTCTATGTTGTAAGGGCATGCTATGCGGGGACCTACTGCGTGTACGTGGCTCGGTCTGCAGCTTGGTCGGGGCGTCTGGTGGAGAGAGTTTCAACATCACCGACGTCAGGGGCGCACCGGCAGCAGCGGGGGCAGCAGGAACGAAGGTGGCGCGATTTCTCGACCTTAGGGTTTAGGGTTCAGGGTGTGGGGCTCGTCACCTCCCACACCTCGTCATCATTGGTATCACCAGAGCAAGAAACAGTAAGAAAACACAAGAAAATGTGACTGTTTTCGGTTTCTCGACCATCTCAGCACTTCTAGCTTGGGCTCGTGAACTTCTCCGAGCACAGCCTGCGTCTGACAGCAGACAGCGCCTGTCTGCTTTGCTATGCATCGGAGAGAATGCCTTGCAAGACAGGTCTCACGCATACGCGAAAAGCTATGCACTTGAACCTGCCTCCCTTTTCAAGCAAAGCATATGAAAAAGAATTGTGGACTGTCAAAAGCTCTCTCCGTTGTCAACAAACGACCCACGCCAAGGAACAGCAAAGGCCGCCGGTCGTTACAGAACAAGCCCGTGGTCTCCATAAGAAGCAAACTCTGCAGATCCATAAACTCCAGAATCAAGGGCGCAAGCCTGCAAGTAGTCACATAGTTATTCAAGCGCTAAGCTACAACACAAACAAGGAAAAAAGCTGTTAAACAAACCCTCCACAGCAACTCTTGCAGATTCTCCGTTTGTTTTGAAAATCGCGGCTGCTAGACTGCTAATGGGATTCGAACGGTAGTAGCTGGCTCCTGCAAAAAGTCAAACTGGGCAGCATCCACAGAAATTTGAATTCGTTTAAGCAACGACCACTCGGCAGCGATCGATGCAAACAAGCTGGGTGTTCTCAGTAGCTGACACCTGCAGCTGAAGCCAACACAAACACACACAGGATGCGTACAGCGCTTTCGCACTTCAGTCGCTCTTGGCTTTGCCAGTAAGAGCCTGACGCAACTTTGTCATAATCTTGCCTCCAAGTTCCTGCTGCCTGCAGTCAGTATGCAGCAATGCAGCTTCATCCCAGTCTGCTTCAGACTGGAGCCTACGGCGATTCAGACACATGTGATCCTATGATCACCAACTTTCTGCCGCACCATTCGCGCCATCCCAACCACTACCCATGCTGAGTTGTTTGCAACTTGCCCACAGGAGAGCATGGGCCGGGGCTTTGCTCGTTGCTGACAATTGTGTTCATGTCTAAACCAGCACACCAAATCGACCTAGGCCGAGCAGGGAACTCAAAAACCAAAACCATCGCAATCAAAGCATGCGGAACGCAAGCTCGGGCATGTGTGCGGCTGAGAGAAGTAACATGAAGTAACCAATTGCGGGGAAGTCTCAATTCAAGCCGCAAACACGCCGGAGAACTCGGGACCCCCGTTGTCCCGAAGCTCGCGGCACATTCACCCCTTGCTTGTCCCACACCGCCCAGCCGCCTCGCCGCCTCACGCACCAAAATTCCTCCGCACCGGACCTTCCCGCAGCACCAGAGTGTGTCCCCGGACAGCGACATGTCGGGGGACCAACGTATTAGGTTGTGCTTCGACGTGACGTTTTCTGACCTTAACTCACGCCCCACGCAGTCGCAGCATGCAGGTCTAGGATGCGAAGCAGCAAGTCATCGCCGGTGCAAGCCTTCATTATGCGAAACATGCAGAATGAGAAGAAACACCTCAATGCAACCAGCAAGCTCAAAGTCCAAGCATGCAAACATCAACATCAACAGCAGACTGTGATGTTCACGCCGAATGCAGACTCCCGTTTTCTTGCCCAAAAGGGAACGGAAGAGGACCGACTTGAGGTCCGGTTCTGAATTAACAGAGTCCTGTCCCCGTCCAGGAACCTGCGAGGTCGGGAAGCCGAATGCAAAGTCCCGTTTTCTTGCCCAAAGAAGGGGACCGACATTCGGTCCGATTCTTTCTGAATAACACAATCCCATCCCCCGGCCCGTCATAGTGTCACGGGATGTCACGGGCCTGAATTTTTCCCTCCGAGTCCCACCCCATCCCGTGGGTTCTGCCGCCGCCGAAGCTCGCACCCCGCATTTGCCCCTCCCAGTCCCACCCCGTCCCCTGAATCCCGCAGCCAAAGCTCGCACCCCGCATTTGCCCCTCCCATTCCCACTCCCGCCGCTAAAGCTCACACCCCACATTTGTCCCTCCCAGTCTCGCCCCGTCCCGTGTCCCCGCCAAAGCTCGCACCCGCACTTGTCCCTGCGAGTCCAACCCCGTGCCGTGGGTCGCATCCCGCACTTGTCCCTCCCAGTTCCGCCCTGTTTTGTGGCCCAGCATCGGTCCCTCCGAGCACCATCCCTCAATGTCCCACCTGCGTCCCGTCCCACTTCCTTCCAGTCCAACATTGCTGGCAGGAATGGCATTCTTTTTGCTGGCTGCAAGTGAATGCACAGTCTGCACCAGGATTCTCTTTACCAGGAATGTGCCACAGGGGATCACATCATTGATCTCCAAACACGCTGCAGGACAATCTGCAGCAAAAGCAAAGTAAGAGGGTTATCGAAAACATGCTAAACAAACAGTAGCCAAAAACAATGCAACAAACCGGCGGTGTAGGGCCAGGGTCAGTTGCCATTGTCAGAACCGGAACTCGGCATACATAACTGCAAAAATCTAATTTGAAATCATGGATGTTCCTTATCCATTTGCTTTGCTGGATTCATGACTGCGATTGACTGCACAAGATTGGGGCGTCAATTCTGTCGACTGGTCGGAGCTACATGTTCAACGACTTCAAGAGTTGTCACAGTGTGCAGCCCCCTTGGTGCATCCCTTCCACACGCATCTGCAGCCTGCAGCTGAGCTGTCAGAACGCTTCTGTGTCAGGTGGCTGAGGCGGGCTCCGCGCAAGCGATGCAACTGCATGAATCCACTGCAAGGATTCGCAAGGATGGTCCTTCTTTGGCGCATGGGTCTCTGTGTCCCGATCTACGGACCCGACAAAGCCGAAGACATGATCGCCATGGCTCCGCATGATGCTGTGTTCCAATACGTTCCAATACACCACCGTATAGTTGACTATGAGTGTTGTTGGGGCATGCTGTGCTAAAGCTAAGGTGTACAATTGAGGAGCTTGTCATAGCTTGTCAAACATCGAGGGGGGGGAGGGCACGCCCTACGCCCATAAGCTCTATCTCGGACCTGAAATGCGTCTTGTCAGGATTTGCTGAGGGTGCAGACAGTGCTTCAAAAGGCCAGTGGGGCACACTAGGTGGCCACCAAGAAGAGTCGCAATGGTGAAAATCTTGGCATCATAGCTCTCAGCGACACCTTGAAAAAGGAACGATTGTACAGAATCCACATCCTCTTCATTCAGGCATATTCAGGTTCGAGTCTGGCTGCACCTGGACCAAAAAAGCCTTCCGAATCCATCAACCAGACCTGCGCTCAGAACACTAGCAGCATATGTTAAAGACAGCGAAGCGCCACTGATTCTTATCTTGGTCTTCCTTGTGGTGCACCAGGCCTCTGATCCGTCACTGGCACGCCAGTCGGTGCGACCTTGTTAGTTACACCACCGAAGACCCCAAACAGTAGAAGGAAAAATCACACGTGTGATGTGAGGTTCCTTCATACTACACGCGAGCCATCGCACCTAACTTGGCTAGGGCAACAACCGACAACGCAGGAACCTAAAGGTTTGTTCCAGCCAGACATCAAAACCCTCTACGGAGTTTCACGAGCCACCGCGTGCGAGCCACCGCACGCAAGCCACAGCACGCGAGCCACCGCACGCGAGCCACAACACCTTGATTGGCTGGGGCAACAACTGACAACGCAGGAGCCTATTTTAAAGGTTTGCTGCAGCCAGACTTCATAACCCTACGGAGTTTGCACGGTACTCACACAGGCAATAAAGAAAAGCGAACCACCGCGTGCGAGCCACCGCATGCGAGACACCGCACGCGAGCCACCGCAGGCGAGCCACCGCACGCGAGCCGCCGCACGCGAGCCACCGCACGCGAACCACCGCACGCGAGCCACCGCACCTAAATCGGTCGGGGCAACAATTGTCAACGCAGAAACCTAATTAAAGGTTTGTTGCAAACCAAGAACTGGCGAGCCACCGCGCGTGAGCCACCGCACGCGAGCCACCGCAGGCGAGCCACCGCAGGCGAGCCACCGCGCGCGAGCCACCGCGCGCGAACCACCGCACGCGAGCCACCGCACCGAGGCGCCGCGCCTAAATCGGCTGGGGCAGCAATTGACAACCGCGCGCGAGCTGCCGCACAGAGCTACCGCGCGCGAGCCACTGCGCACGAGCCACCGCACGCGAGCCTCGGGAGCCACCGCGAGCCACCGCACCTAAACTTGGCAAGGGCAACAGCTGACATCGCCGGAACCTAAGGGTTTGTTCCAGTCAGACTTCATAACCCTGAGGAGTTTGCATGGTACTCACACAAATGAAACCCAGGAACTGTTGAGGCAGCCATGCTTCTCACAAAAGCAAGCCCGTCACGTCTTCTATATAGCTTTAGCCACTGCAGACGGCAACAGCGAAAGAAGTTGCAGACGAAAGGGTCTGACAGTACCAGGCATTACTGCGTGGGCATGCGCAAGACACGCATTACTGCGGATTGTTTTCAACAGGATTCATACACGTTACGCTTGCCCGGTTAAACAAAAGCGGGAGGGTTGGGGGCCCATTTGCAAACACAACGCTCGCGCGATGGGCGCTCTTGCACGGCTAAAAAAGCGAAGGCGGGCACAGCCCCCACCCCCCCTCCCCTCCCATTTGCAAGCGCAGTGGATTTCAACAAGACTCATACGCTTTGTGCTTGCACCTGGGCGTCTTGTCTTCCTTTGTCTCCCTTTGTCTCCTTTTGTCTCCGTTTGTCTCCCTTCATGTGGGTGGCCTGTGCCGGGTTCCTGGGCGTCTTGTCTCCCTTTGTCTCCATTTCCCTTCATGTGCGTGGCCTTTGCCGGGTTCCCGAGCGTCTTGTCTCCCTTTGTCTCCCTTTGCTACCCTTCATGTGGGTGGCCTTTGCCGGGTTCCTGAGCGTTTTGTCTCCCTTTGTCTCCCTTTGTCTCCCTTTGTCTCCCTTTGTCTCCCTTTGTCTCCCTTTGTCTCCCTTCATGTGGGCCTTTGCCGGGTTCCTGGGGCGTCTTGTCCCCCTTTGTCTCCCTTCATCTCCCTGCGTGCGGGTGACCTTTGCCGGGTTCTTGGGCGTTCTGTCTCCCTTTGTCTCCCTTTGTGTCCCTTCACGCGGGTGGCCTTTGCCGTTCCTGGGCGTCTTGTCTCCCTTTGTCTTCCTTTGTCTCCCTTAGTGTCCCTTCATGCGGGCGGCTTTTGCCGGGTTCCCGCAAGCAGCAAGCAAGCAAGCACACAAGCAAGCAAGCAAGCAAGCAAACAAGCAAACAAGCAAGAAAGCAGGAGCGAAGCAAAGCCGACCCGCGCGCAGGCAAGCAAGCAAGCAAGCAAGCAACCTTATTGAAACCCATCGTGCGAAAGCAAGCAAGCAAGTAACCAAGCGGCGACGGGAGCAAGCAAGCAGGCAAGCAAGCAGGAGCGAAGCAAAGCCATCCCGCACGCAAGCAAGCAAGCAAGCAAGCAAGCAATCTTATTGAAATCCATCGTGCGAGCGGGGTGGCGGGGGGGGGGGGCGGGTTGCGCCCCCCTCAACCCCCCCCACTTCTTTGGCCGAACCCGGCAAAGGCTACCCACATGAAGGGACGCAGACGGAGACAAAGGGAGACAAACGCCCAGGAACCTGGCAAAGGCCACCCACAGGGAGACAAAGGGAGACGAAGGGAGACAATGGAGACAAAGGGAGACAAGGGGAGACAGAACGTCCAGGAACCCGGCAAAGGCCACCCGCATGAAGGGAGACAAAGGGAGACAAAGGGAGACAAAGGGAGACATGGTGCCCAGGAACCCGGCAATGCTCACCAGAATGCCGGCAATTCCTTAAACGAATTTAGGACCCCAACAGTAAAACTGTTTGGGGAAAAATGAGTTACACTGCATCAGCAATGCTTCATAACGCTTCACTGGGCAGCATGGTGGCCACACTGAGCGATACTGAGCGTCAGAGCACAGCCAAATACCCATGGTCTCCGGTGAAGTCTTTCGACCAATGGTAAACACCTTCCACCGCATGTCTGCTGCAAGCCGGGGCAATGCAAACGACTATGCGGTGTTGGCCTGCGGGTCACCCAACAAGGCATTCAGTAAGAAACTTTTCCTGCAGGTTATGAATCAGTTCTTGCTTTCATGGCTTAAGCCGGTCTTGTGCGGAATCATGACAGCTATTCTGCAGTCCCGGAGTGGTATGGCCCAACGACCTTGGACATGTCTAAAAGCACACGTTCAAAGCAGCACGACTGCTTCCAGAGGCTGAGATGTAGACTGAAATGATCGATATGCTACTCGGATGCCTCGCTAACCTGCGCCAATACAAAAGACGTGCACCATCTGCTATTCTTGCAAAGAACACGTCATCTGGTCGAACTAAAGCGGATTGCTTCCATGACTTCTGCACAAGGCAATTGAGGACTGCGATTGCTCATCCTCAGCCCTCGAGAGTTTTCATTCCGTACTTTGACAAGATCAACGCCCCACGGTGGCGGAGGACCACACGCTCACGGGCCCACGTGCCCACGGACACACAGGCTCGCGGGATCACGTGCTTGCACCACACAATCATTTGAGAAAGCCCAATCCTGTGATAAACATGCATCTGCAAGATTCGGCAAAGCCCTAAAACTTCGGATACAGCGCTCGTTCACCCAAACTTGCGCCGGGATTTGGATCGGATTTCAAGTGGCCGGACGGGTGTGAAAGCCTCCTCTGATGTCGGGAATTATCGGGATACAGTATTCCGTCTTCACTGTACTCATATCATTACACATATTATGCTTAGGGGACGTTTCCTGGACTTCAAGTAAATACACGATGATGCACGAACTAACATGATACATTATCTTGCGTCTACGGCTTTGGACACAGTAGTTTTTCACGCGCGAGAACCGAGAACGGTTGAAAAATTAGGTTTGGGCGTTCCGGTTCCAGGGCCGGTTCGGGTGGGTTTTTGGGCAAGGTTTCAGGTGTGTTTCCGATTCCGGAACCCATCCTTTCAGGAAAGGGATCTGGGCCATGGCCGGTTCTGCTGCCAAATGCTGGTTCCGGGTTCCGGGGCGGGGTCTTGGCTGGGAACAAAGGTCCAAAGCGCTTGCAAAATGCACCCGACTCCGCACCCTTCTGCGAATGCTCCACTGTGCGACGTTGGAGCAGCAGGCTTCGCCTGAATCTGTTTCCAAAACCCAGCCAGGTGCATTTTCCGGGCATCCGAAAACTCACTTGGCACGGTTTGGCGCCAATGTCCAACTTCGCTTCGCTCGAAAAACAGGTCTGACTCTTCCGGAACCTGGGCAAGTACATTTTCCAAGGGGCATCTTCCATCGGAGCTACAAGCGGAACTCGTCCCCAAGACACACCCGAACCTTCACGTCTAATCCTTGCACGGGCCAAGTTGCCATATGAGTTCATCACAAGATCCATCACATTGTTGATAGATGTTCACAGGATGTTCGTAAAATGTTCTGGGAGATTCACGTTGTCCAGGTTTGATTCGAGGACGCCGACCGAACACTGAAACGAGCGCTCCCACATGTGAGATGTCAGCAACAAACACAGCAAGCCGACCTTGCCAACCCCTCTGGGACCGGCAGCATCGAAGAGTGGTTAGCGGTCGGCCTGACAACCTTAGCAGCGCTAACACGCTAAGCACGTTAACACTCAGGCTTCTAAACGAACCTGTTTCACTGGATTGCTTGGATAGCGCTGTAAGTTCTCAGCCTGGAAGGGAACCTTGAAGGGAACCTCGCTTTACGGGAAGTCTCTGTCGCTCTGTTCGCTTAGAGGCAGGCGCAAGTCTTTTCAAAGCTGATTTCGCAATGACATGCCGTGACTTCGCAACAGATGCAGACTAAGGCGCAGAGGCAACCACCCAAATAACAGCTGGGTCAACAACAACCAACTAGCAGTAACAACTGATCAGAAATTGCCAGGCCATTAGGTTCCAGGTTCCTGCTTTAACGCTTTCGCAGTGCAACTTGCAGCGCTAATTCGCAAAGGGAAGGTCCGCCTCTGAGATGCACAACTGGCAAAGTATAGAGAAGGCGGGAAGCCATCGGCCTCCACGCATCGGTCTGAATGGCTCTCTCTCTCTCTCTCTCTCCTTCTACGTCTCCGTCACCGTCTTCGGTCTCTTCTTCTTCTTCTTCTTCTTCTTCTTCTTCTTCTTCTTCTTCTTCTTCTTCTTCTTCTTCTTCTTCTTCTTCTTCTTCTTCTTCTTCTTCTGCTTTCTTTCTTTCTTTCATGGGGCCTTGTTCTGCTCTCTCTCTCTCTCTCTCTCTTTTTTCTCTCTTTTTTCTCTCCCGTTCTTCCTCTCTACTCACACGTGAAAAAGTGCAGTACGAACAGTTCAGGCAAGGCCGAACGTAGGTCATGACTCCGGGCTACTTCCGGTGATACTGGCCTCTGCGCAGAATCATCTGCAAGAAGGTGGGTGGGCGGCAGTGCCTAAAATTGATCTCAAGAGATGGATGCTTCGACGTTATCAGGGCTCCACGGTAGCCGTCTCGGCAAGGCGGTCATGTGACCATTGTGTTCTGTGCCACGCCCTTCTCTTTTGGTATGCAAGCCTTCAACTGCATCTGCTTGCTGGAAATGGCTAAGGGATCTTCACCGTGGCAGCTCGGATGACTAGAGCGCGCCCACTCTGACAGCAAAGCTGCAGCACGATTACTAGCAAAACACGCTAGTGACGAGATGTCATGAGACATTGCTACAAGGCATACAAGCAGCCTACAACGCAGCCTACAACGCAGCATACAACGCAGCATACAACGCAGCATGCAACACAGCATGCAAGTGTCCATCGAGGCTTCAGGCCCAAGGCGTTTCAGCACCAGTAGCCCAAATCGCAACCATTGTTTTTGGTCTAGGCGAGCTTGGTCCCCTCACCTATCTATCTGGGAACCCTCTATAGACCCCCTGCGGAACTTCTACGGCCCCATGGACGCCTCAACCGCGTGTGAGCTTCTGCACCTTCTTTTGTGGACCCCTGCAGCGATGGACCCGCTAGGGACTTCCGACGCAATGACACCCTTGTGGATCTGCATATAGTGGCCGTCAAAGCTGCATCGCATACGAGGCTAGACAATGAGTATCTCCAGCACCCGCTAGATTCTCAAGCCCTGTTAGGGCTGTTGTCGTTCATTGTGACCCACTTGGCTGAGGGCGGCCGAGGCGATAGCTATAAAATGTGAAGAAAAAACAGCAAAACGATACTGTAAAAGAACTAGACTATGCTACAGTTCATTACTAGGGACAGTCATGCAGAAGACGAGGCCTTCTTTGCTCGAGAACTCTGCTGGCTCGTCTGCCCGCAGAGCTCCAAACCATGCTTGAGACATGTGCGCTGTGCCGTCGCTGTCTTTGACAGCACAAGCTCCGGCGCAATGATTTAACGACATTGGCCTCCGGTGCCTGCAGGCACCATGGCTTTCAAACAGCAAATGGAGCCTGAGCCTCCAATATCTCCAATGCCGCTGCTTGAAATCTGCCGCAGCAACTCCGCAATGTTGTTAGATGTTGTTAGGCACCAGAGCGAGAAAACAGATCCATTGGCGAACCTCGGAACTGTCCTGCCTCTGCTAGAGCTTGCCGGACTCGCTCCTTCGCATCGCGGAGGGACGCTTCCGAACTTTGGCAGTCCTGCCGTGTGCAGACATGTGCAGACATGCGCAGACGTCGGTCAAGATTCTGCGGCTACCAGTTTGACAGTTCATGCCTGACACACGGCAAGAGGCACTGACTAGACACTGGTAGCTGCAAATCGTCCATCACCGAGTCCAGATAAGCTTGCGTTGAACAATTGAAATCCAGTGCACAAAAGCATGGACTGATGATGTTGCGGCTTCCGTTTCCAGACTCGAACAGCGAGAAGGGCACAAAATCAAGACATCTCTCCCCATCACAATCCGGCTATATCCCGCTCATCCAATGGTTCTTGGCAAGGTTTGATAGGTTTGTGTGTTCAGACAGCAACAACTCACGGAACGAGCCCTGGCTGGCGATACTTTCGGGTGACTTTGAGTTTGTTTTGCGTGCGTGAAATAAAACGGGTGATGGAAGGCGCCACGAACCATCACGAACCATCACGAACCACTCTCGCAAACGTCTCCATACTTTGCCCATCCCTTGTGCTCCTTGTGCCAAGTGCCAAGGCATGAGCATTGACTAGCCCCTTTCTCTACTCCACTCGTTGAACCTTCAGTATCCAAATGACCTCAGTATATCACAGTATCACACATTACACTAACGTCGCTAACGAACCCGGGTAAGCTGCAGCTGCTCCTGCTGCGCTTGCTTCAATCCACGCAAGGCATCGGACAGCTGCTGACCGACATGTTCTGGTAGTCCTTAGCTGTTGAATATAAGAGGTGGGCTCGATAGGTTCCGTGCCGGGTCAAGATGTTGTGTCTGCCCTGTCCTGTGCAAGTACGTGACTGAAGCTGCTGCTTCGAGCACTTGTCCATCATTGAACTCAAGAAGCAAGATCGTTCTGACATGCAACAGAACGCAATGGAAAAACTATAACACATCCTAGCAAACTGGACAGTACCATTAGCCAGCAGGGATCGTTCCGAAGCGCCCGTGTCGAGGCCAGTTGCTGCTCCTGAGTTCAACTCTGACTTCAACAGCTTCTCCAGCATCGACAGCAGCGTCGATGTGCTCGTAGCAAGCCATTTCTGCCCGATCGCTTGCGCGATCTTGAGCGTTGCCCGCGGGCGGCCTTGTTCACCGGCGTTTTTAGACATTCGCCGAAGAGCTTCTTCATCTTGAAGCCAGCCAACGACCGTCCGTGCGATGGTGCGAGGGTCCGAGCAAAAGTCACCGAAGCCTCCGTCAACTACAAAGCCGACATTTCCTTGCTCCTGTCCAGGAAGATAGGAGCTAAGCATGACAGGCAACTTCCTTGTGCAAGCTTCTGCTATAGTTCCTGGACCAGCCTTTGTCACAATCACATCTGCAGCAGCCATCCACTCGTCCATGTTCTTGACAAACCCAACAATGTGTGCATGCACAGCATCAGGCCACTGCATGGCTTGAAGCTGCTTCCTCACCTTCTCATTTTTGCCACAAATGACGACAAGTTGTGCACCACCGGTGTCTGCCAAATCCTGGAGGTTCTGGCCAAGCGCCTCTGCCACATTGAACAAGCGACCAACGCCATCACCACCACCAACAACAAGGACTGTTTTTAATTGACGGATGCCAAGGACGTCACGAACCTCCTGTCTGGTCCGCGGCTCAGCATTCCAGAATGCACGCCTGAGAGGTAATCCATACTCCTCGATGACAGATTCACGCACGCGGCATTTCAACGCAATATCCTTCACAGGATCTGAGGGAACAAAGACCCGATCTGCTTCAGGATGGAACCACATAGGATGAGCTGATCCGAGATCTGTAACAACTGTAACGAACGGAATGCGGCTTTTACTGCCTTGACGACGGGCTAGCTTTTTAAGTGCCTTAATGACGATGTGTTGTGTTCCAGGATGAACAGATATGATCAAGTCCGGAGCGTCATCCTGGATTGCCTTCATGAATATTCGCTTGCACAAGATGTTTGCGAACCTCTGCATCATCCACCTGGTCACTGGAAACTTGCTGCTGTACCACAGCATGCGCCAAGACCATGTGTGCTTTGCCATCCACATGTACTGCTTGACAACCGTATTGAACGGAAAAGGACATGATTCGGTCCACACATCACGAATCGTAATGTGCACTGGATACAGCTCCTGCAGCGCATCAGCAAGTGCCATGGCGGATGCACGGTGCCCACCACCGGTGTCCGAAATCATAATCATTACTCTTTTCTGCCTCAAAACGTCTGGATCCTCTCCAGCAAGTCTGAAAGAATCTTCGGGACCTTCGAAGAGATGATCCCAGAACTCTGCCTGCCGCTCTTCCAGTTCCCACTGCTTCTGTCTCTGACGTGAATCATCACTTTTCTTCTGCACTCTGTGAACCTTTTCGGGGCTAGCTGCCAGCCCGTGTTTGGATCTTCTGCAAGACCTCTGAAAGTGGGCTAAACCCAGAACAATCCCGGCAATACCCCGAGCGCCCGATCCAGCACCTCGGCTTGTCCCTTGAAACCCAGTCGCAAAGGTAGCTGGGCTAAGGCGGCTAAGGACTCTGCACTCAGCTCCGTGAGCAGCTCCTTGCCTGGTAAGAGTCTCAAGTCCTCGCAGCTTGTGATCAACCTTTATCACATTCATCATGGGGAGCGGACTACCCGTGACTGAACCTCCGTTGAGTCGTGCAAATCATGTCGTGGGGCACTGGCATTGTGACAGAACACCGAATGCTATGCTCTCTGAAGTCTTAAAAGACTAAAGATATGCTTTGCGGACATCAACGACAGGATCTGGATTCGCTGGCCAGATGATACGCGGCATAGATCAAGATCAACGCGCCGTCTCTGCATTTTTATTCTCACAACATGTTTCTCAACATTGCCTCTGTTTTTACCGCTGCAACATTCTCAACAGTGCAACATGCGGCTTTAAGGCAGAGAACTTCTCCCCGGTCCAAAGGCCTCTCAGAGCCCTCAACAGAATCCGAGCATAAGCAAAGCTTCTCAGAGCTCCGCATGGCGCTAGCATATTGAAAGACATTGAAAGTAATACTGTCATGCGGTTTGAATTCAGATTCTGCACTCAACGCCGAACCCTTCGTTCCAGTGACGGTCTTTGAAACATCTTAATGGGCCGAAGCAGTTGTGTTGTGTTCCCTTTCTTTGGCCGGTGCTCTCTGCCTGCAGTAGCAGAACTGAATAAGAAAAGATTGGCTTTAAACCAAGTCGGTGTAAGAAAACGAGGGGAGAGCATACACCCACAATGCGGAACAAGTGGCTGTACTAAACACGAGATTCAAGGTACACCAGATTTGGGGCCGAATTTTCTTTTTGGGTGGGCCTCCCCGGCACAGGGTGTTAAGAAATTCAGAACTTTCGGGCATGAAAATTGGAATGGTGCATGTTTTGGGACTACTGTATTTGGAGGGTTTGGGCAGGTTTGGGAGGTTTGGGCGGTGTTTCCAGTGCCATTTTTAGGCCCGAAGGAAATAGAAAATGAGGGCCTGTTTTCTTAAATTTAAGAAAATGAGAGACTCATTTCCTCAAATTGAAGAAGACAATGAGGGGTTCGTTCTCTTGTGTAAGTTTAAGAATGAGGGGCTCATTTTCGCAAAGTTAAGAAAATGTACCCCCCAGTTTCTCGTTTTCCGTTTGGGCCTGAAAATTGGATTCTCGCATTTGCTGATGGGTGGGCCTCCCGGACTTGGAAAGGTTGTGGGAGGAGGGTTTTGAATGTTGGCTGCAGTTGACTTGCTCAATAGCTTCTATAGCTTCTTATAGATTTAGGGCAGGGAGTGGCAGGCGACCGGTCGTCAGCCGACAGGGTCTTGACAGACTGGTTTGCCTTGTTTGTTCCCCGTAACGTGCAGGTTCGAGGTGGGTGGGAGGGAGGGAAAGCGTCCCATTAGTCTGGTCTGCAGCAAAGCTTGCAGCCTAGTTGATTTTGACCCACCCACCCGCCCTGGGGTGAGGTGTCTTTTGAGCCGGGAGAGTCCTACGGGACAAGTTCATTGGGACATGGAAGACTGGCAGATTCAGAGAGATACTATCCCCGAGACACGGACACGTCCGACAAAAGGAAGGCTTCTGTCCGAGTGTGTGCAAGCACAGTGTAGCGTCAGTTGCGTGCTTGTTGCGTTTGATGCATTGCGCTTGTTTGAAGTGATCGCGAGCGACCCCGAAATCTATAAGGGAATGGTCTTGGGACTATCAGGAGAGATTGGGCAGGTCTGAGGTTTGGGCGGGGCTTCCAGGGCCATTTTCAGGCCCAAAAGGAAAACCGCAAAATGAGAAATGCGAGTCTCATTTTCTTGGGTTTGGCTCCCTGCCATAAAGGACCTAGCAGAAACTTGGTAGCAATATTCAGGGTGCCCTCAGGGTGTGAAGCGTGACTTCTGGAAAAGCAGTGTTCTTCTACTTAAAAAACCAAATGACTTGGAATTATCGCTTTCTTGTCCAGCACCGTCTCTGCACCAGATTTACGATTAAACAGCATCATGCTGGCATGACAACATCTCGTCAGCAGCGCCTGCTTTTCACGGCAGTGCGTCCGCTGTCTCCGGGATCTCCCGCAGAACTTTGGCGGTGCGGTGAAGTAACCAGCTGTCAGAGATTGGGGTATAAGGAGCTTCGCTCCATCACAAAAACTTCAAGGTCAGGTGTGAGACTGGTGTGAGCCACGATGCAAGGTTCAGCGTGGAAGTCGGCCAGGAACAGAATGACCTGCAGCGCCGAAAACAGCCAAAAGAGTTTCATGCAATTCCTCGAATGCTGGGTGAGAGGAACACAGTTGATTTGCGGAATTGCATAACATCAGTGTGAAAGCCATAAAGCCTCAAGCTTTCTTAACTGCATCGTAAGTTGTGTGTACTCCACGCACCTCAAACTGGAAAACCTACGCTACGCCACTGCTGTCGGACTAGTGAGCTAACCAGGTTGACATTTCCAAAACTCAGTTCAAGGAGGATGGCCGCAACGGGCTCTCAGCTAGCACTCTGAATCAGTCCGCCTTACACACACATCAAGAGGCTGACGATTTGCCTTGGGCTTCACAGTCCTACTCACGACTGTTTGTGGGGACAAGAAAGACTCGGCAAGACTCTGTCTCCTTAGCAAATGTCACTTGTACAAGTCGGAGTGGATCGACTGAGTTCTGGGGTGTGCTGCTTCATGCTGCCTAGTGTGTTGAATGCAGTCGAGCAAGTCTCACATAGTCACACACACAATCACACACACACACACACACAGGTTGGATCGACAGCTGCAAAGGGAACCCTCGAGGCCGCGACCAATTCGCCCAGAATCGCTTCTCAGAAAGTCCGTCAAGCCCCGGGTGCCGACGCTAAAGCATCTTTGCTTTGCAGCACGAAGCTCCGCTCTCATGTCTTCTGCGTCTAGTGTGCTGCTTCCTTTAAATGCTTTAGCCTCGAAACAGGCCTGGGCTGTCAGACCACGAGCACGGCGCGAAAGTAAATGTAACCTTGCCTCAAAGTCTTTGGGCAACAAACAAGGAAACTAGTGGGATGACCACTGGCAACCACCTGCACGTTTGACAGGTGCGAATTCTTCTTGTCTTCTTGATACATGCGGTTGAGAAGCTTAAACCGTCCGCACGTCCTGAATGTAAACTCTCGGGAAGCTTGCGGGTCTTGGCACTACAGAGCCATCATTTCTTGAGCATCGCTTCTGGTACCCAGCTTGGTGTGGTTCATCCGCAGGCTTCACGATTTCTAGCAGTTGCCATCCTATGGTGACACAGCTGGGATGGATACCATGCGCTGCTCACGTGGCCTTCAACGCAGGGTTTTCCAGCTCTTGGCTACATAGGCATCTGACATTCCTCACATGCCGAGCCCTCAGGAAAATCGCACACACTTGCAGGTTTCGGAAGACTCCATCCTACTGTCTCTCGATCACTCACAGGAGGTCTGCCAGGCGCAGCGTGTGACCTCAATTTCATTGACAGAACGACGAAAGAAAATTGGACTCGAGGTCTTCACTTTGACCCCGGCCTGAGGTACCTGAAGCGCATGTGCCATGCTCCTGAGCTCATAGGACCCAGGTCCCGCCATGTCCCGCCACAACAAAAAATTCTGGGTTCATGGCCACGGAGACGCATCCGGGTAGCTCGGGCTCCGGATTGTATGCCTGTAAGAAAATTGATCAAAGCACTGTCGTTAGTTAATTTCTCGAAGCGCGAAGGATGCAAAAATGATGCAAAAGCTCAGTTCCAGTTCATGCGTTTCCAGCTTCTCAGTCTCCCACCAAAGCAGCGCGGGCCTTCAGCCCGCTCTTCGGTGTATGCGCCTGAGTGCGAGAATTTAAACTCCAGTTCGAAGAGCAGGTCTATGAGTCTATACTATGTCTATCTTTTTTGATCTTCATCTTCATGTGAACCCTCCTACCATGTGACTTAAGCCTGTTGCAGCGACCCTGAGGTCACCGAGCAGGCGCTGTTGCACCGTGGTTCGCAACACCCCACAGCTGAAAATCGATTTCAAGCTTCCTCAAACAAATCATGTCCATCTGCTTGGAACAGATTTCAGATTTCAAGCCGCCGAGTGTTGGCGAGGGGGCGGGGGGCGGGGCGGCTGAAATCAACTTCAAGCCCCGCAAATGTTAAAATCGGTTCGCAGCTTAAAACGATTGAAAAACCCTGCAAAGTAAAGCCTCTTGAAAAAACACGAATCGAGTTCAATCTTCCTGGAGCAGCTTTGAAATAAATGTTCAAGCCTTTGCTGCACCCAGCAACCGGCTTAAAATCGATTCGAACTGTTTTTTGGCCTGGAGGCCCTTGGAGGAGGATAAACCCCCCGTTCTTTTAAACTCTAAACCTTACAAAGCCTAAAACTCTGAGCCCTATAAGACCCCATCAAACCCTCCAAGACTGGAGATGATTTTGACATGGACCCTCGACCTTAAGTCTTCAGGGGCCAACCTGCTCAAGCCTCTGAGCTTATGCTCTCAGCTGGAGGCCATGCAGGCCTGCAAAGCTCTTTTTGCCAAGCCTAAATACTAAACTCTACACTGAACTCGAAACTGGAAAGGAAGTTTGGCCGTAGATTGCTACCCGTCCGGACGGGCCGCTGGGAGTGGTCGAAAGGCAGCTGTGACCTGCCCCGGCATGCGCCGGACTGCAGGGGCGTGGGTTTGGCCAACCGGACATGTAAGTATTGCCAAAAACTCCTGGAATCGGTGAGGGTGAGTGCGCGAAAGAATCATGAGCGGTACTCGCATAGTGCACAGGCTCTCCACCCGATGGAGTGGCTCGGGCGCGGGTCAGTAGGGGGCCGAGGCCATGGGTGCGGCTTTAATTTCGTTACCTCTGACCTTCAGCCGTCGGTTCAAGCGATCCGTCAGCCCTGAGTTTTTGTGAAAGGCTCTGCTACTCTTGAGTCTTGGGCTTGCCTGACGGGTATGGGCCTGCTGGTCGGCTACCTCGTGGGATATTATGGCACGTGGAAACTCGGGCGATGGCCGAGCCATGAACCGTAAGCTGGGAGAGGTGGAGGCAACCAACAGTTGGAAGACCGGGTCGAGGTACAACTGGAACAAGTTGAGGTTTGCCGGCTCATCCGGGTCGAAAAGAGCAAAGGTGTCGCCAAGTGGTTCCAACACATGGAAGATGGCGCCGCACAACGC